TGCCAGCCTGGCGGGGGAAGCGGGGAGGGAAGAGGGGAACGGGGTGGGGAAACATATGCCAAAGCCCAAGAGGGGAGAGGGTGGGGGTAAGAGGGATTTAAGGAGAGGTATAGGCGCAAGGAACAGGACAGGGACAGCTGGGTGGGGGTTGAAGAGGAAACGGACGTGGCGTTCCCGGTCGTGTATAGCTCGGGGTGCCTGCGCTATGTTCCCAATCCCCTTTTTCCGGTCCCCATCCGCACACATTCTCTTCCCCTCCTCCCTCCCTTCCACCTTCCCTCCCCCCATCCTTCTCCACCGCCTCCTCCTCCCTCCTCTCTTACCCTTCCTCCTGGCTGCAGGGGTGTCCTCCACGGGCCCCGTCTGGGCAATGGCCGCCACCTCCCCTGGAGTCCTCCCCCCCGATATGAACCGGGCCAGCAGGTTGTCACGAGCGATCTCCAGAAGCGCGTCCTCGGGAATAACCTGGGGGGGGGGGAGAGGGGAGTGCGGGGAAAAGAGAGATGGGGAAAGAGCATAAGAGAAATGGTAATGGAAACACTCGTGTGCTCACAGGGGTTGTGGATGGGAGAAATGGCTCAGAGTTGCAAGGAATGTAAGCTGGGGAATATGGAGGGGAGGGAGAGCATACCTGTGCTCTTTATCTTCGCGCGTTTCCCTCACCTAACTTTTGCTTTCCCCCCTCACTCACATCTTTACAACAAAACAAAACGACCCACTTCCCATTTCACACCTCACCCCAGGCCACAACAGACCCCCCCCCCCAAACCCCCCCTCCCAACCTCCCCCCTCCCCACGCCTCCCCCCTCACCTCGGGCGGGTCTTCCGGCACGAACACCACCGCGTCGGTCACCAGCAGCGTCCGGGACTTCTTGTGGAAGAAGGCCACCTCGCTAAACCGAACATAGCTGCCAACACCTGGCGGCGGGGGAATGTAAGGGTGACACGGGGGGTTAGGGCGGCCGCAAGGGGGCAGGTGAAGTCCGTTAGGTGAAGTCCGTTAGGTGAAGTCCGTTAGGTGAAGTCCGTTAGGTCAAGGTAGGCAGGCAGCTAGTTGGTCTTCAGGAGCCAGTTCGACAGCTGTACACAAGCAGGCCAGCAGATAGAGACAGGGAGGCAGGGAGGGATGGCGTTAAGGATCGAAAACCCACACGCCCGGGTCCCATGCCATACCCCCACCCACACCCCACCCTGTTTCCTCTTTTTCCCCCCCCCCAAAATTTTCCTCCACCCCGTCACGGGGGCCAGGTGGTGCTTTTGTTGCGTCAGAAGTCAACTTATTCTTCTTTACATATTGCGGCATCACGTTTTGGACTCCCTCCCCTCGCCAGTGGCTCGTCTTACTCCCCTCTGCCTCTGCCTCTCCCGCTGCCCGTACCGATGGATGGCGGCAGGAAGAGCTTCTGCTCGATCTCCTCCGCCCAGGGCACGTCGGGGTCCCCCGTGGTGAGCTCCCCCGCGGGGAAGATGCCGAAGAACTGGAGAGGGGGGGAGAGGAGGAGGAGCAGCAGCGGGAGGAGGAGGAGGAGGAAGAGCAACGAGATGAGGAGTTGAGGGGAAGAGGAACAAACCCAGACGCGAGGAAGAAGTAGAAGGCGAGGAGAGGTTGTGGAGTCGGATATGGAGGCTAGGAGGGGTTGGAGAGGGGAAGCTTCAATGCAGCCTTGGGAGTGGGGCCGGTGTTGGGGTACGTGCGTGCGTGCGGAGAGTGAGTGAGGGAGGGGTGTACAAGCCTTGAGGTGGTTCAGGGCTAGGTGGGAGGATTGGGTTCAAGGAACTGAAATGTCGGTGGGGAATGCGGTGTGGTACTGGGTCAACAGGAATACGACCCTACACCGCCAAACACATACCGCATGTGGCTAGCATATATCCAGAATAGCATAGTAAACATATACATATATGTATATTTATGTTTACTCTATATACATACATATATATACATTTACAGAGGAGTTTGAGAGGACATTCAAGCACACAAATATGTAGAGAGACACGCAGACGGGCATACCTGGGGTGGCAGGTTGATGGGGAAGGACCACTGGTACGGCGCAACGTACACCTGTACGGAGTACGACGGTGCACACGGGACCGCGGCGGCGACTTCAGGAAGAGAGAGAAGTCTGACCACCTGACCGTAGTTTAGTTGGTACATTGTTCGCTCGGTCGGCTGGATGGGTGGCTGCTCTCCTGCCTGCCTGCCTGCCTGCCTGTCCGTCTGTCTGTTTGTCTGTCTGCCTGCCTGTCTGTCTGCCTGCCTGTCTGTCTGTCTGCCTGTCCGGCTATACATATTTCTCTGGGGTCTTACCTTGGCCTTGGGGAAGCGGCGTGAGAAGGGGCCTACAAACACTTTATGTTCGTACGCAAAAGTAGGCAGTACGATATATTCCACGGGGGCATCCAGCTCCTGGTGGGGTTGGGGTTGGGGTTGGGAAGCCCATGGGGGGTGTGGAGAGGCGAAGGGGAAGCGAGGAAAGGGGAAACAATTACGAACAGAATGTTAACCCCGTTCAAAAGTAGGCCATATAGGACCATTAATAAAGAAATTTTGCAGCGACCGCATCCTCCCGACATCCCCGATGACCTCACCCTGCTTATAGCTGATCCACTGGTCCTACCCTTGCTTCGTCTCCCCCCCCACCACCAACAACAACTGCAAAACCCTCATGCCGCCCCGCTGCCTTTTACCTTAGCACAGAGCATCTTAGCACAGAGCATCTTAGCACAGAGCATCTTAGCACAGAGCATCTTAGCACAGAGCACGGACACCTCTATTATTACTACACCCCCTTCCCCACCCGCCCCCCATCTTCCCCGACCTTAATCAGCCGGATGCACTCCTCCGTGGGCGCCACCGGGGCGTGCACCCACAGGCCCCCGCTGGCCAGTTTGATGACCGTCATGCGAACGGGCGTGTAGACGTTGAAGAGCTCCAGGGCCTGGGTCTGCTCGAAAACCCACACGCTGCCTCGCTCCACCTGCCCCCGGGGGACGGCGGGGGAGCGGATGGGAGGGGGAGGGTGGCCGGGAAGGGTTGAGGACATGGCAAGCGCAATGTTTGATGGGGAGGAGAGGAGATGGACAGGGCTTAGAGGGGAGCCAGAGCTGCCGGGAAAATGGCGGGCGCGAGGAGGAGAGCTTTGGGGTGGAGGGCTGGAAGAAAGACGGAAAGGAGCACCAAGGGGGCGGCCATGGCGGTGGACGAGACGCACATATGTGCATGCACGGACGGCCCAGGTGGGGGGTCAAGTCCCGGTGCTGGATGGGTGTTGGAAGAATGTCAACGCGCCCTCAGCGAAATCCATAGCATGGTCCATGGTCGGGGAGACCAGGGGGTAGGAGGATCCGGGAATGTAGGAATGGATGTGATGCGCGTGAGAGACAACGTCCCTTCCCGTCAAGATCGCCCACTGCCGCCCCGGGGGCGGCCCCCTGGCCCCCCCGGCTAATGGGTGGAGTTGTTCAGTTCGATGGGTGCAGGGCCTTGGAAGGGTGCGGCAGTTGGGGGCTGGAGAGCAATCTGGGTCAGGTCGGATAGGAAATGGCTGGGCAGGGTCGGAACGAGCGTCCGGATCAATCTGACTGCATATGTGGGTGTCAGTAACCGCGATCCGGACCCATCGTTTCCCTAAACCCCATTCACGTCGATCTGTCGCCCCTTTTCTGGTCGTCCTTCCTTCAATCATACCTCGATGCGCACAGTTTTTCGGGTGAAGAAAGGTCCCAGAGGAAATGGAAAGCCTGTGAGATTGAAGTAGAATTGGCTGCCTCCTGACTTCTTACGTGCGGGGGACCGTTGAGGGGTTTTGCCGGCATCCCGCGACGCGCGTCCGGTCGCCCTGCCTCCTTTGACCGTCGTCCCGGCTGTCTTGCCCCGCGCGGTGCCCTTCGGATTTTGCTGCGTGGTCTGCTGCTGCCGCGCGGGGGATGACGCGCGTGCAAGCATACTGGGCCTCGTGCGAGTGATGGGCGCTGCCCTGATAACCGACCGCAGGGGGCAGCGCGTAACAACCATGTTTGGCCTTGTCATCTTCATGGCTTCAATTTGAAGGATGGAAGAGGTAAAGGTGATAGCGATAAGATGTTTGGCCTTGTGTGCGGCCAGCTAGCCACAAGATAGTGATTAAGAGCGATGCGACGAATGGTCCTGCGACAGTTACATAGTACACAGTGCAGATCTATATAAACCGTGATAATCGATTAAAGGATGACGCAGGTGCAGGTGCACGTACACCACCCCTATGTAAGGCGAGTGGATAAATGTGGATAACCACGCCAGAAGTGAAGGGTAATTTATTATCTATATAGCATAAAGGTAGATGTTATCAGGAATTTGGAAAGCATGAACGATTGCCCGGAATCCAGGAATGGAAGTAGAAGCATGAAAGACCACCCAAAGTTACAGAGCATGTAGCCCGGCCTCACCTGCCATAATTTCTGTCTGGATAAAATAAACATATCCACTGCATTTTTGTACTGTATAACCCCAGGTTGAACAAAGACATCAAATTGCGTTCAGGCTTGTGCTCTGCATTTGCAAACAAATGGTTTCTTGGCCATCGTTTGTAACATAGCGCAATTTACAGCGATATGTGCGTGTGCACATTTGTGATTTGGGTTACCGAGACGGGCAACATGTAATTTCCTTCATACTAAGGTCGACACTCTCGAGGAGAAGCATAGCGTGGAGGTAGTCGTCATGGCTACCATGAATGAAGAGGTTAACATCCAGCAGCTCAAGTTGCTGAAGCGGATATTTGAGGTGCGCCTCAGGCTAGCGGTGTAAGGACAAGGAGCTCCTTTGACCTGTTGAAGATGGTATAAGCACGTTTAAATGGCTGCGGAGTTAGCGGGCTATAAAGTAGATTTGGAAGCCACGATTTCCGCGACACATGCCCTCGACCACGCCCAGCAATCCACCTTGCGCGTACTGATGCATATTATACAGCTCATAAATTGTGCCTTTTGTGACCCAAGGCTTGACCTTCACACCGTCCTGCGTTATCCGAGGCAGACTGATTCCTGCGCCCAGCGCAGCCCAAGGCCCAGCAATGCTCCCCACCAGCCCGCCCCAGCCAACCGCGTATGCTCGCATGCATAACCCTTACATGCATACCCCCCGCATACAACCGCAGGAGGCCGATGAGGATGGCAGTGGGGAGCTGGACATCGATGAGTTTTGTGACAAGCTTGGTCCCTACCTGGGCGACGTGGCGGGTCACGCGCTGAAGACGCGGGAGGAGATCCGGCAGCTGTTCATGAAGATTGATGCGGATGCGGGAGGGACTGTGGACTGGTGAGTGGGTTAGAGCGGGGTGGGGAAGTGGGGAGTTGGGGGGATTAGGGTTATAGGGAAGAGGGGTTCCAAAATCATACGATACGGTATATTACACTATGACCCGACACTATCCGACACTATGCAAAGTGCAAGGTGCAAAGTGCGAAATACAGAGAAACCAGCAACAGTCGAGTCCAAGGTCCCGACTGTGGGAGCTTACTGTAGTGGGGGTGTAGGGAGATGACAAGGCCGATGTCACCAGGATCGTGACCTTCTGAGTGCTCTGAGGATGCTGGTGTTTTTTGAAAACAAAGGGCGAGGAGGGGCGCGAGGGGGCGAGGAGGGGCGCGAGGGGGCGAGGAGGGGCGAGTGGGTCCCCTCCAAATACCCCGTTGTACACTTTGATCACCGTTGTACACTCTTTAATTGCAAACGGCTTTCCTTCTGCGACACCGTCTCCCTGATCGTCCACACACGCACACGTACATACACATACATACGTACATACATACATACATACATACATACATACATACATACACGGACGTCGGCAGTCGATCCTTTTTTGCTTTCTGATTATGATTGCCTAACCGGCCCCCCCAACATCCCACCCCCCACTCCCACCCCACATACCCCACCCCCCTTACAGGGATGAGTTCACCAACTTCATGTTCCTGGAGCGGGCTCAGATGGTCGGGGAGAGCGCCAGTGAGAACTGGAGGCTGTTCCCGCAGGCGAGTTGCAAGGAGAGCGTATGTGTGTGTGCGTGCGTGCGTATGTAGATATGTTTTGTAGGGAGGGGGATATGGTTGGGTGAGAGCAAGCCTTAAGCACGAAACAAGATGTGTGTTTAGGTTGGTGGGAATGAGGAAGAGGCAAAGGGAGTGTTACCAAAGAAGGGGATCGAATTGAGGTTAGGGATTGTGTGGATGGGTTGGGTTGGGGAGGGGTGGGGTGGGGTGTGTGGGGGGTGTTTATTAGCGGGGATGGGGAGTCCGTAGAGGGATTCGGGGGGGGGAGGATGGAGCGGGCGGGATCGAGCGGCAGTGAGTGGAGCGATGTGTGGGGTGGCTTGGGGGGAGGAAGAGGGATAGCTCCCCGGTAATGGTGGTGGCGGCATTCTCGATGACGGTGGCGATGTACGAGCAGCAGCAGCGGGGGTGGCGGCGGCGGCGGCTGCTGGCTAGCTGCATTAGCTGGTGCAGCTGCGGCAGTGACGGGCAGCGCTGCAGCAGCCCCTTTGCGGCGATGGCGGAGTGCGCTGTCTGGGTCTGTGTTCCACCGTCCGCCCACATCTGGGGAAGTGGGCGTCCGGGTGCCCATGCACAGGGCGTCCGTGTTGGGGGAGGCGGAGGAGGCGGAGGCGGAGGGGGAGATGGAGGAGTAGATGGAGGAGGAGGGGGAGGGGGAGGCGGAGGGGAAGGCGGAGGGAGAGGCAGAGGGGGAGGTGGAGGAGGATGAGGCCGCCGCCACGTAACGGGGGAAGTAGCGGCCAAGTCTCAGGGTCCACGTTGCCGTACGGTGGGGCCAGCGGCAGATGGTTTTGTTTGTTGATCATGGAATTTGCCTCGCTGATGGTGATGATGGTGATGATGATGACTCGGTGTGCCCCTCCAACTGCCAACTAACTGTGCAGGACTTCCGTGACCGCAACGACCTTGGCGTTACCCACCGGTAAGCAACCCTTAACTAACAACGGTAACTGCAAACCAACCACTATCATCAGCAACTTGCGACGCCTGATTCCTTTCCTAATCAGGGATGCGGGATGCGCCAGTATCTCATTCAACCAGCTGCATGCATTGCAACATAATCCCCTTTCGTGCCCTCTCACCTTTCAACTCTCGTAGCAGATTATCCCGTAGCATCAGCTTCACTACTCTCTGAGAAAATATCGCTATTAGTGCTTCGTGTAAAAAAAATATTACTCAATTGTAGTCTACGAGGTTCGTGGTCTTTCCCCACCCCCGTGGTCAGTTCTACTTCTGTTACACTCTTGTGCCCTGGCAGCAGCTTCACTCGTTCACGTGGTTCGTCTTCCCCCCCCCACACACACACACTCTCACAGACCGCAAACCCTAAGTTCAATCCACCCTTTGCTAACATCCTGGACTCTTTGTTCGTCGTCTTTTCGGACGCATCGGTCCTTGGACGTGTATTGGCCCTTTGCTCCTTCCACCGCTATGTGGCCCTTTGGTCCCTTCTCTCCGAAACACACACTATACACACATATACACACATATACACACATACACACACGCACACGCCGCCCCCAGCGGACCCGTTGACCGAGTGCTGTACGTTGACTTTGTGGACAAGTACGTGTCCTGCGGGCGAGACGGTACATTCCGTCTTTGGAACGGAGTCGATCTTCGCCACTACAAGACCATTCCGTTGGGCGGGTCTTGGATCACGGACGCCATCTTCATGCCCAACACGCGCAAGCTGGTGTTCACGACTGCAGACAGGGCGATATCGTACTATGACGCGAACCGCGGGTCGTTCGAGCTGACGGGGCGGCTGTACGCGAGCGGTAGGTATTTGGGTTTTTTTATTTTATACAAAGTTTCTTTTACAGCGGTCTTTTAGTACACTGTTTTTATTATATATTGTCAGTGTCGGTTTACAGCGATTTTTTTATTACACAATGTTTTTTACATTGGTTTGGGGGGGGGTTCTTGGGGCTTGGCGGGGTCGGACATCGACCGGGCGGGTTGGATTTGGAGGGGCTGAGGTACGGGGAGGTGGGTTTGGTCTGGAGAAAGAGGGGGGAGGGGCGTGGGTTGCGGCAGACGGGTCGTGTCACCTACACGCACGCGTGCACACACACACGTACTTACATCTATCTATCTATCTATCTATCTATCTATCTATCTACCTATCTATCTATCTATCTATCTATCTATCTATCTATCTATCTATCTATCTATCTATCTATCTATCTATCTATCTATCTATCTATCTATCTATCTATCTACATATCTACCTATCTATCTATCTATCTATCTATCTATCTATCTATCTATCTATCTATCCATCTATCTATCTATCTAACAAGGAAAAACACATAAACATTTACATACATACATACATACATTCCCGGGGATTCTCTACCCCTAACGCTCCGTGCCACAATAACGAACACATGGCCACCAAAAACACACGCACACGCGCCTGTACGAACATAACACATACACATACTCGCACATACACACACACACACACGCACGCACACATACACACACGCTCTTCACCTCCCCACCCCTCAAATCCGTGCAGGTGGTATGGGTGTTCCCCAGTGCATGACGCTGGTGACCAACGAGGCGGGTGAGCAGCTGGTGTACGGCGACTCCAAGGGGGCGGCCATCATGCTGCTGTGCGGCTCTAGGGAGTGGCCGGCTAGGGACCTCATAAGTACGGAAGAACACCAGGTACGGGAGGTTGGGTGCTTGTACGACAGGTTTCTGAGGATATGGGGGTGAAGAGAAGTAGTGTGGGAAGGGTGAACAACGCGAACGCGGTTCTCCGTGTGCAAGACTCGAGTGACAGACCTCGATACATGGGACAAACGACACAAGGGAAGGCCGCTGCCTTTCATCATCCCCTCCACCCCTTCACGCAGCTCAACTCAATGCCATGGTTTGACCGCATCGTCGACACTTCGACAGTAGCAAAACCCTCGCGCGATGTTATTGCTCTGGGGCCCTGAATACCTCCCGACCTGTCCCTTCAGACCTAACGAACCCAACGTTGCATGCTGCCGTATGTCGTACGTTTCGTACGTACAGGACTATATCTACATCCATCAGGACCACACCGACTGGGTCAGCCAGGTACGACATGTCGTACAGTACGGATGAATGGTGAAGGGGATGGGGAAAGGGGGTGAGTCGAAGGGAATGTGAAATTCCTTTTATCTGTTTTCCTGCGGTGGGTAAATACACGGGAGGCCTAATTTACCAAGCGGACCAACAACTGCAGCTCTGACGTGTCTGAGTGGGGTTGGGTGGTGGTGGGGGTTAGAGAGCCTGAGTCCTAGCTGAGTCAGGCGGGACTTGACAGCCGGACATACATACATACATACATACATACATACATACATACATACATACATACATACATACACATACACATATACATACGGTCGCCCTCGCCCCCTCTCTCATCATTATTCATCCTTAGAAGGGATTTACCTCCATGTGAATGGGGGGCTGCATTCCCGACCCCAACAACCCCAACAACCCCAACAACCCCAACAACCCGCGGAAGGCACCTCGTGAGTCCAGAGGATTCTAGTTAGGGACTGGCGAGGGGTGGGGTGGTCACCCGCTCGTGACCACGCGGCATTCCATCCGAATGGACTGGGTGGTATGTATCCCCCCCTATACACACGTAACCTTTTAGAGGGCTAAAAATAATATTTTTTGAATTGATTTATCATCAGGAAAAACGCCTTTATTTTGATGACCCCCTGGCGCCGTACATTGTAAGGCTGTGCTCGTGTCTTGAACGACTGTGACTTCCGCCCCACTTCTGAGATCTCACATACCCTGCTACCCTACACGCTACCGCCGTGCCATTCTCAACACAAGACACTCCCCTGTCCCCACATTAAGCAAAACACACACATACACATACACGCACACGCGCGCACACATACACACACGTATACGTGCATCCGGGCCCACCCCGGCCCACGTGCTCACCTGGCCCATATGCCCCTGTACGGTGTGTGCGACGGCGCGGTTGTGTGTACGACATGGATGTAGATTACCTGGGTGCCGGAAATCGGGCTGGTGTCCGCCTCCCTGGACTCGACCATCAAGGTGTACGACTTTGTACGGGAGCGTGTGATTAACACATGCACCCACCACTCCAAGTCCGTGCATGGCTTCGTGTGGTGCAGGTAGGCACATACATACCGACATACACGCGGAATAAGGACGGTAATTTACAGATATAGTTTTACATTCCTTGCAAATATACGTATATACATGTGTATGTCGGTATGTGTGTATGTGTGTGCTTTAGGAGTGGGTACACTGCACTTGCAGATAGGTCACATTGCCTATGTCTCTCCCAACCAACTCCTACCTTTGTTTGCCGCTGCCTACTCGCACGTCGGTTATTTACAACCGCCAACCTCCACTGGTGGTTGCACAGTTACAGGAATTCTCCGGGCCCCTGCGCCCATCCCTCCAAACCTCGTGTACCCCCCTACATGGCCCTTCCTCCCCCTCGCCCCCCTCTTCCCCCCCCCGGCCCCCGGGGGCGGCCCCCTACAGGGCCTACTCCATGTTCGCTTCATGCGGTCAGGAGCGAGATGTCATTTTGTGGCAGGGCAATACCATGAGAAAGGTAGTGTAGTGTGCATGCGCGTGTTTATATATGTGTATGCGTGTGAATAAATGTGTGTGAATAAATGTGTGTGAATAAATGTGTGTGAATAAATGTGTGTGAATAAATGTGTGTGAATAAATGTGTGTGAATAAATGTGTGTGAATAAATGTGTGTGAATAAATGTGTGTATCATGATCTGAGCCGCGAGAAGGAAATGGCGCACGTAGGGGAATGGCGCCAGCACAACGTCACGCCGGAAGTAGTCACCAGCGTAGTGGCGGCAGTGGCACGGTGCCTAGTTGTTTAAGTGGGGTGATGTGTATTGTATGTGTGTGTATGTGGCTTTTTCCTGAAGCCCCTTCCCCACCCAACTTTTTTTCTCTCATGTGCCCCCCCCCCATGCGCGCCCCCACACCTTATCGTATCGTTCAAGGAAACGCATTACGTTGTTTTGTTGCCGTGGAACCCGCAGTCCTCTCCAACCACCCCAACCGCCCCAACTAACTTAGGGTTTAACTACCCCCCGCCCGCCACTCCAGGTGGGCGACCTGACGGGGCACACCGCCAGCATTTCCCACATCGCACTGGACGAGCGACTCAACCACGTGTTCACCTTGGCAGTGGACAAAGTCATAAAGGTGTGTGTGTGTGTATGTATGTGTGTGTGTGTTTATCAGGGGGGGAAAGTGAAGGGAAACGTCTGGGAAGGGGTTGGTTGGTTGGAGCGTTGTGCGTGTATGCGCATGTCTGTACGTCCTACGGCCCCAGTCCCCAAGCTTTAGCTTATCATGCTCAGACGGCCTCCAGCCTGCGTGTTTCTGTGCTGTGTGGGACTTCAGCACCAGCACTGGGTTGTGTGGTGTGGTGTGGTGTGGTGTGGTGTGGTGTGGTGTGGTGTGGTGTGGTGTGGTGTGGTGTGGTGTGGTGTGGTGTGGTGTGGTGTGGTGTGGTGTGGTGTGTGCACCAGGGCCGAAGCAAACGGGCCGCCTTCCTTCCCCCTCCCGACACCTCGGGGGGAGGGGTAGGACGTCTCGGGGAGTGTGTGTGTGTGTTTCAATCAGAAACGTGGCATTGTCAGTGACCCTGTCGTACTCTCTCCACTGTCGTACTTCTTCCTTGTCTCTCCCTTCTGGTGGGTGCCCTTTCCGAGGTTTGAGTCACCCCTTACCCCGCCCTGCCCTCTCTCCTCCACGGGACTGGTACGGGGGTTTTCCCTTCCTTTCCCCTCCCCCCCCTAACACCGCAGCGCCCCCCGCCGTGACCGTTGTACGGCAGGAGTTTTTATTTCCAGCGTCCGCATCCGCCGCCTCCGACATTCCTCCTCCTTTCTTCATCTCTTGCTTTTGTTCGTACTCTGTGCTTAACCTTTCCACCCTTTCCTTTCCTCTCCCTCACCCCCAACCAATGTGTATTCATGTACACACGTGTACGGCATGTCAGGTTTGGGACCTCCGAAACCACAAGTGTCTCCAAACCCTAACGGAGGACGACTGGCGGCGGGCCGAGGAATCCAAACCTAACTGCCTCGTGTACGACCATGTACACCGGCGTTGCGTCACTGCCGTATCCAAGCCGTACGTTTGGGTGCACAAGATGGTGGCGCAGGTATGTATATGTGCGTGTGCGTGTGCGTGTGCGTGTCCTTGGGGGTTATTAACGTAAAGGTGTTTTTGCTTTTTTTCCTGTTTCCCCCCCTTTCTCCCCCTCCCCTTCCCGGCCCTTCTCCTTTCCTCCCTTTCCCCCGCCCACACCCCCTCCCTCAAAACCCACATAAGCCCGTCTTCACCCTCTCCCATTACCCCCCTCTCCCCTTCCCCCCCGCACACACATACACACCTCAGGACCGTACAGGCCACATGGAGCCCATTCGTGCTGGTCTGTTCAACTCCATCTTCGGGGTGGTGGTGACTGTGGACGAGGGCGGGACCGTGTGTGTTTGGGACCTCATGACGGGGACCCGGTAAGGGGGTGTGCGTGTGTGTGTGGGTGCGTGTGTGTGTGTGTGTGTGTGTGTATTTAATAAACCTGAGCCGCATCATGCGTGTGTATGTGTGCATGTGTATGTATGTGCATGCATGTGGAGGTAGGGGATGGCGGGGGCGAAGAAAGAGAAGTCGGGGTGCCGAGGACAGCCGATAATGAGTACATAAGTACATAAGTGCTAGTTTTATTAGTAAATCTAATCTGTAAAACCCTACCTTTAAGAATCTGTAGCATCTGTTCATTGTGGTTCATAAAAAAGTTATCTTTCAAGTATTACCTCTCCCCCTTCCCAACCCGGCGGGCCCCTGCCCCCTCTTCCCCCACCTCCCGTCTCCCCACACCGTCAATACACACACACGCAAAAACACGTACCCCCTATTTTACCTAGGCTTCCCACGCCTCAAACCATCCGGTCCATACACACACGCACGTACCCCATACAGGGAGGGTCGGTTCACTCGCTCCCAGGGCGACTCCCGCATCACAACTGCCTGCTTTGACCGGAACCAACGGCGACTGCTAACCGCCGCCAACGACGGTACCGTTAGTATGTGGAACTTCAACAACGGATCGCTGCTACGAGAATACAAACACGGTAGGGCGCTGTCGCAGAGTGGAGACCATTGATAGCGCGGGGGTTTGGTTCGACTTTCCCCTCCACCCCCCTCCCCCTCCCCCTCCCCCTCCCCCTCAACCCCCCGCTCCCCTTCCTCCCTCCCCTATTCCTCCTCCCTGACTTGTCCGTTGTGTGCAGAGGAGGAGCAGTTGGAAGTTACGACGGTTGAGTACGCGGCGGATGAGAAGAGGCACGCTGACTCGGTGTATGCGGCGGGGTGGAACGCCAAGGTGTGCGGGGTGTGTGTGGGCGTCCTAAGTATCCCGGGGGGAAGGTGAGGACGAAGGGGGGGTATGTGCCACTGCATGCATGGGGACGCCAGGGGGGGCTGCAGGGGGTAAGTTGAGGAGGAAGAGAGGCTGCAAGGTAATAGGGGAGGTGTTGGTGTGGGGGGAAATCGAGGACTGGGGACTGGGGTTTGGGGGCTAGGGTTTGGGGACGAGGCTGTTACGAACGAGTGAAGCTGCTGCCAAGAGGAGGGGAGGGGATCGAGGGAGGGGAGAAAGTGGCGCTCGAGATTACCGGGGAACGATAAAAGAAAGGTTCACCGCGTGGTGGTGAAAATCAAACCATGGAGTCAAACACTCAAAGCGTCGAATTTCGCTGACCCACATCGCTGGTACCACTCGGGGGGAACCCCCCGCGGTGTTGTCGCAGGTGTTCGTATGGGACGATATGGACACATCAAGCGGCGTGGTGAGTGCATGTCGTACACGTTCAGGCGATTCGGTGTGCGGTGCAAGTTGCACGCACGCAGCTGGCTGCCTGCATGCATACATGCATACATGTAGACAGACAGACAGGCAGACAGACAGACAGACAGACAGACATGCAGACAGACACGCACCTCCCCTATGTCGTACTCGCAGGTAACCGAGTACCGCACATTCGAAGGTCATCGTGAAGACGTTCTGTCCATGGCTGCCCTGCCCCAGCGCCACCTGCTGGCCACAGGGGACTACGAGGGCAGGATAAACGTGTACCACCTGTTCACAGGTATGTATGTATGACTTAGATTACACTGTGGGCCGCGAGAGCCGGGGGCCGAAGCCGAAACACAGCGCAAGGGTCGGGGGCACACAGCACAAGTCGGTTAGTCTTGTATGCTCCCGACCCCGACTCAGGCTGCATGTATGTGTGTATGGGAGCACCGGGCCAGAGCAACGGCAGAGTAGGAGGAGGGCAAGAGGACGCACCGGCAATGAACACCGGCAACATCTTTGTGATGTGACATGTTCGGAGGTTCCCTTTTCCTTCGGCGCCACGAAACTCTTCAACTTCCACCCCCTTCCACTTCCACTTCCATCCCCCCCCCTTCCCCCGGTGCAAAGGTGAGCGACGAACGTCCCTGTTCCACCGAGCCGAGCGTTACGAGTCGTCTGTGGAGCGGTTATGTTGGTTGCTGCCGCCAAGCCGGTCTCGGAGCCTGGCCGCTTCAATGGCGGGATCCATGTCGGCGTCCATGAGCGGCGGAGGGGGATTTGCCGCCGCCGCAGCGGCTGCCGCGGCGGCGGCGGCGGCGGTGGCGGCTGCCGCCGCTGCCAGCAGCGGCGACGGCTCGGCGGGCGGGGATGGCGCCGGTAGCGGCGGCGGTCCTTGCCTGCTGATTTCGTTTGGCGGCGACGGGCTGATGCGGGTGTGGCTGATCGGCGCCACAGGTACGTTAGTTAAGTGGTTGATGGTTGGTTGGGTAGTTCGTTGGCAGTTGACTTTTAGTCAAGTTATAATTACCGCCAGGTTGGGTGGGGTGGCTCATGTGGGTCACTGCACTGTCACAACTGCTTCGCTTTGAGAAACTCAAAATAAAGACGCGGGGATCTTTCTTCTCGGATGACTCCCGCAGTCCGCGTGGGGGTTTCAACTGGGGTTGGAGGGGTGGGGGCCGCCCTCTCACTGGGCTGGGCCCTGCCGGCCGGCCTGCCGCTGTAGTCCCTAAAATCCCTATCATCAGCAGCACCAGCACCAGCACCAGCACCAGCACCAGCACCAGCACCAGCACCAGCACCAGCACCAGCACCAGCACCAGCACCAGCACCAGCACCAGCATCAACATCATCAGCACCAGTAGCAGCAGCGTAACCGTCCGGCCCTATACGTTCCTCCCTCCCCCCGCTTTGCTGCTGCCCCCGTCCCTCCGGACTCCAGGGAAGCTGATAGCCACGCTCCCCGCCGCCCAAGGGCGGTTGGATGTAGTTACTGCCTGTACGGCATCCCCCGAACACGACCACCTGGTAGCAGGCGACACTTCGGGACACATCCGGGTATGGGATCTACGAGCAGGTGTACGAACAGGATCCATACAGGTACGACATAGCTTCCCAGCTCGCGGATCGGTTTAGAAGGGGAAAGTGGGGGAAGCCGAGGGAATACTTTCACTCGTACTTTCGTCACGTCCTGTACGGCACTTGTCACCCACGTCATTCCAACCTGGCGTGGAATGTGTCCCGATCGCCTTTTTAAGCGACGACGGAGAAGAGGAGAAGAGCGACCGAGCCATTCCGAGCCATTCGTTGCCAACCCGTATCCAACCGCAAAACCGACCAACTGCCAGCTGCCCTAACCGCTAACTACCTGGCTAAATCCCCGCAGGCATGTCGCGACTCATTCCGACAGAGGGCTCACTGGTTGGCTCACAACGGGGCAATCAGCGGTCTGTCAGTGGTTCCGGAGCGGTGAGGAGAGGAGGGAGACCAGGAAGGGGGGGAGGGGGTTTGGGTCGAGCAGTTCAATCAAAAGGGTTGGGGGTTTGGGGGGTTGGGGGGTTGGGGGTTGGGGGTTGGGGGTTGGGTGCGGCCAGTGGCGCAATTGTGATGTTGGGATGTTGACGGCTCGGTGGTACGGCTCTACCGGAGGGGTTGATGGCACCCACAATGGGTTTCAGGAGGCCGCGCTTCCTCACCTTTCCCTCCCCCCTCCTCGTTGGGTTGATATGAACTTCAGCAATTGTACAACTCGTATTTCGTATATCGCATTTTCTGTTTTTCCCCCTTGCAAAATGACAAGGGCATCGGCACACAGTTTTTGAGCCTTTCCTCCCCTCTCCTCCCCCTCCCCTCTCCTCCTCAGGGGCATCATAGTTGCGGCATCCAAGGACTGCAACGCATCGCTGTGGGACATGGACGGCTGCCTGGTACGAACCGCCGTACATTTCCGTACATTTTCGCACACACCTAGATCCTATCGAGAAACACACTGTGTTGAACAGCATCCCATAGCATGTCCCCCCCAGCACCCAGCACCCAGCACCCAGCACCAGCACCAGTTTTTTTGTTTTTTGTTTTTTGTTTTTGTTTCTTATTATTACTCCCCTTTTTGCTTTCACCCTGTTTTGCCTTCACCCTGTTCTGCCGGCGTATACGCCGTCCAACGCGTCATCCCGTCCCATGCGTCATCCCGTCCAATGCGTCACTAGGTCATCTCGTACGACACCACCTGTGTCGTCCTACGCCGCCTTTGCAATTCTTTATTACTTCCTGGCGCTGCACTCGACCCGTTCGGGGTCCACTGTAACAATCGCATCTTACTTCCTGACTTTTCTTCCATTTTCATATAGTTTCTTTAGGTTTTCTCATTCCAGCTTCCCCGGTCAGCAAGTTTTATACGCCTTTTCAGCAGCATCTGCATGAGTTTTTGTTTTTTTCGTTCGCTGCTCACGTTTTTGCCACCTCTCTGCCTCGCATGTGCCTTTGCCCGCTGCTCCTGCTGCCTGGCCAGGTGAGTCCAATAAGGTGGTTCGAGCTTTTTTTGGTATTTCGCGTTGGCGTCGGTAGGCTAGCCGGAATAGTTTAGCTTGGGTCGGTCGGGTCAGTCGCGCGTTCTAGTTTTTTTGGGGGGTTGGGAGGAACACTTGCATACCAGCAGCCCTTCAGTATCAGCAATGCAGCTTTCTCTCCTGGTCAGCAACTTTACGCTACTTCTACTTCAAAAATTTTTTCTCGCCGCCTTCACTACTTTTTCTACACCTACTAGTTTACGATTTGGCTATATTACTTCTGGCGGCTTAGGTAGGTAGGACTTCCTACTTCTACGTCAAATCTTCATCCCGAGGTTACAGTCGTCATCCCGAGGTTACAGTCGTCACAGTCGCCACGGACGCCTTTCGGTCAGTTCTTTCGGTCGCTACTTTCTTACCCTGGCAGCAGCTTAAATCGCGTGTGGTTCGTCTTTCCCCCAGCACCCCCAATCGCCACCCTGCAGTCCAGCCCTCCTTCTCCCCCAATCCCCTACTCCTACCCCCTACTCCTACCCACCCAAAACACACACACGCACACGCATTCACACACACGCGCAGGTGGGTATCCTCGGGGAGCACTGCTGGCAGTTGGAGCGGCGCAAGAGCTGGCAGGACCCCCGGGGGGAGAAGCGCCGGCCCCCCTTGGCGGAGACCGACAACCTCTACCTAGCAGGTCGTGGGGGCGTGTGGGGTGTGTGGGGTTGCGGTGGAAGGGGGGTGGTGGAAGGGTTGTGGTGGAAGGGTTGACGGGGACGTGGTGATGGGAGGGGAAAAGGGTAAAGCAGGTTAGACCAGATGGATCCCAGCGCCATCCCTTGTCTGACGACGCGCATTCCCCCGCCCCGCCCCCCGGCCCCCGTCCCCGTCCCCGGCCCCCCCGCCCCCCGCCGTCAAACCCAACCCACAAGCACAGACCCGGAAGGTGCCTCCAATGATGCGGAGGAGGCCGGCGGCAGCAGCAACAGTGCTGGTGCTGGCGCTGGTGCTGGTCGGGGGGCTCGTAGCAGTGGAGGCAGCCGCAGCAGTGGCGGTGGTGGCAGTGGCGGTGGCGGTGGAGGAGGGGGGTTGCGGGGCTCAGCGAGTGGGGAGCAGGACGTGTTCAAGGACTACTCCCCCATGCAGCGAGCAGCGCTCAAATTGGAGGTGCGGTCCCCGGATGGGGGGGAGGGCGCTGGTGCCACCCACCCCTTTCTTTCCACATATTGTTTCACTACACAGTACTTTGCGGTCTTCCTTCCTTCAGCTTCTTGCTTAATGAAAAAGGGGCTAGGGCTTTTATTCAGGATGAGAGATAGGAGGGCGGAAAGGGGGGGATGCGGGACGGGGGAAAGGGGGGGGAAGGGGCTGAAGGGCGGTCACTATTGGCGATGGTGGAGAGGCTGGGGTGGGGAGCGGTGAGGCAGCAGCAGTAGCAGCAACAGCAGCAGACGGCTCGTCTTACTCTCACCCTGCGCCACTGAGTCCCTCCTAACCCCGGCCCACACCATTCGTCGGGTTTTGCAACCCGCAGGAGAAACGGAGCCGGGCGCGGGAGGCCGAGCGGTCGCTTCCTCGCGGGGCCCACTCCCAGCTGAAAGTGCACAGCCTCAAGGTTCGATGGAGAAGGGGAGGGGGGGGGAAAACGGAGTAGGAGGGGGGGTTAGGTGCGGAGTTGAAGGCGGGGAGGTAGGGGATAGGTGAAAAGAGTTTGAAGGGGGGGGTGGGCGGAAGGAGGGCCCGGAGAAACGAGGGCGGGAAGTGGGGGAAGAAGGGGAAGAGGGAAGGCGAGGAGCTAGGCGGAAAGGAGGGGGCGTTGGAACCGCAAAAGGGTGCTGGGGTCGAGAAATTGACTGGGGGTTCCTGCGGGGGTTCAACAGCGTACAAGTGCATTCCAGAAGCTGTGGTACGTGTATGTATGTATGTATGTATGTATGTATGTATGTGGGTGTGGGTGTGGGTGTGGGTGTGGGTGTGGGTGTGGGTGTGGGTGTGGGTGTCTGCGGGTGGTGGGTTGAGATGGGAGAGACGGCTTTCCGGAAGCGTGCGCCGATCCAGGAGGGTGGGGTGGGTTCCCTCCTCATCCAACCGTCACCTAATATAAACGTCATGGCCACCTTCAAAACGTCACATGGCCACCGCCAACTGCCGTTCCAACTGCTGCTGTTCATGCAGGACGTACCCGCTTCCGCGCGGGAGCTTCTAGGTCAGGACATGCGCACAAACCGCGGTGGCGGCGGCGGCGGCGGCGGCAAGAATACGGCAGCGGGAGGGGCCGGCGGCGGCGGCGGCGGCCTAAGCGCACGCGGCGGGAACCCAACCCACGGCTCGAGCCCATCCGGTAGCGGCTATGGCAACAGCAGCGGCAATGGCAATGGCGGACCGCCGCCCGCGCTGCTATTTCGCGCACAGTTGCTGGGGCACCGTTCATGAGTCGGCGCTTTAGCTGCCGCTGCCATCGTCGTCGTAGCGGTGGTGGTCCTCGGTTACCTGGGCGGAAGCCAAGACAGACCGAGGTGTGGCCCTTGGGCTTCAGTGCAGGAGGAGGGCGGAGGTGGTCGGTAACGTAAACAGCCCACGGCCATGCGGCTGTACATTTACAGCGTACAGCTATACGAGTGCGATTCGTATCATCATTGCGCAGCACTTACACGTCTCTGCTAGTTAAATAAGCTAAGTTAAGGCTCTTAATAGGAACGTAGGTAAACATGGCGTGCTGCAGCTGAAACGGCTGAAAGAGCTGTACGAGTACGTGATCTTAGCTGCTCGTGTGTGTGGGGGGGGGAGCTGGGGGGCCCGGAAACAAGGCGTGTGGTAACAGGTACATACGTAACAAACCCACGCATGCAGGAAATAAGGAAAAGCTAGCTAACATCTTTGTCGGGTGCCTACTACAGCTACTTACAGGTTACTATTTCCGCACGAGTGGGGGGGGGGTAGGAGTACGTGTACACGGGTGATGCACATATAAAGCGACACCGGTTCGTGAGCAGTAGTCTTCATTCGGGAAGATGTTGACTTGCGCTCCAGAGTTCCCTATTGTTGTCCGGTGCGCCACCAGTGGTGTGTTATTCAGCGCTCAGCTGTATGTATGTACCGGCTGGGACGCGGCCGAGTTACTTGTGAGGAGAGGGGCCTCCGCCGCCTCTACATTCGCCTCCGTAAGAGCATTGGGAATGCTGACATCCCCCCTGCCATTCTCGCTTCTCATACAAATACACGTGACGTACATACATAATGCATGCACACACACACGTGGAGTCATATTCGCATTTGGAACAAACACAGGAGGTCTGGGAAGAGGCAGGATAGGCGGTCCTGATTGTTGTACTTCAGGTTGTGGGTGATGATGGTGGCGCTGCCGCCGCGCGGAGAGGGCCACAGAACGTGAAGAGGAATCATTGGAGCGCGTGCCTCCAGGTATTTGGTCGTCGCCGCTTAGGGTGATGGGGCTAAACGCCCTGTCTGTGGGCACTAGTGGTGGTCTACATCAGTGTACATCAACTACGTGCTGAAGGCTCAGATCATGTGGACGGGACATTCCTCTCTTTGTGAAGAATGTTTGTATTCCGTTGCAGCAAATGTGAAGGGCTCTTTTGTTGGATGACCCCACACAGTAAATGCTAAGCACATACGGGCGCTACTTCCGACCAAAAAGAGGCCTCTGTCTCCAGGAGCTGCTGATAACTGTTTCGCTGTTCAAATGGTCAGTGGCAAAGCCTCTGTGGCTGTGTAGCAAATCTAGGTAGGTGTAACCTGTTTCTGACATCGAGTATACTTCACGCGTCTTCGACATGCGGTGCCAACCTCCCTCTCAACTCTTATCGCATCCCCCTTCATCCACACACTTCATCCTCACACACAGAGCACACCATCTCCACGGAGACGTTCCGTACTTCCTCGTCGTCTCGGAGACGACGTCTCGGTCCGCACTGCCTGACGACCAAAAGCATGACCCTTCCTTCCTGACACCGACCTGACCCGCCAGGACATACATACATAGACACACACACCTGCCTGTTCGAACCATCCTGTAGCGACAAAAGCAGATGAGAGGACACCGGCGGCGATACAGCCATACCTCCTCCCACTGACTCATCATTCTAGCGACAGCAGCAGTCCCAGCAATGCAGCGGCCTCACACAGCGAAACAACAACAACAACGATATAAGCTCCCGACTGGCCACCAACCACGCAACAAGACGTAGTGTCGTAGCATGCGCAAGGCACACTCCACACCCGCAAAGTTACGCACCTCAGTACGTGCAACGCCGCCTGCCGTCGCCACCGCCTCCACACACGTGCACGTGGCGCCGAGAAGAAGTGATCAGCGTGAAGAGGCCGCAAACGGCACACACACACACCCAGACACACATACACGAACGCAGAGGCACATGACTTGCCACGTGTGACGAGACCTCCATCCGCCATCCATCCTTCACCCAGCTCGTCTCCAGATTGTTGTCCGTTGTTCTCATCTCCCGTTGCAGTATGGGTGCCCCCCCGCCGTTGTGGACATCAAACCACCTCTACAAACCCATCATTTTTGTGCCGCCAGCGGCCGCTAACGGGCGCTTTGGCAGCATTGCCCTGCATCCGAAGTAAAGCAACTGGCAAGAGTAAAACTGCAAGCAAGTACTCGAAAAAAGCAGCCGCTTCAACACCGGACAACACCTCGAAATGATTCCTCCTCTCGCCTCAACCTCTCGGCCAGGCCAGTCATCCGTTAGCCTGTGGAGCCCTTCAGATACGCAACACGCAACACATCCCCGCAAGAGCAAGAAAAAAGCTTAAATAAAAAACAGAAACGCAAAGCAAAGCGCACGACAGACCTTCGCAACTCGCGCAAGTTAGGGTGTCCTCAGAGGCCATATGCGATATTAAGTCCCCAATCCCTCGATTGGTAATCATATGGTACTGCGAGGAAGGCAGTGGCAGCACCCGCATCTGTCCTCCTCCCCGCCCTGATCCGGTGGAAAGCGGCGGCGGTGATGGAGGACAAACACAAGACGCACGCCCTGTCCCCAGTCCTTAGGAGTCCTCCTCCTTGCTGCGAAAAAACCTCATACGAAGTCTTGTGTGCGATAGCATGGCGCCCTCCAACCCCTTATTCAAAGGAGTGAAGGCATCCTCCCAACACACGTCCTCGAAGACGCAAAAAGGAAGGGGCATCACCAGCGGGTTGCGTCCATAGATGTTAGGCGCCCGCAAGATACCCGCACGAACGCAGACACGAAAGAGGTTTAAGGGTGCACCCCCCTTCGTGTATACTTTTAAACGCAGCCGGGGACGGTATCCTGGTCCGCTTAAAATTTCATTCCCATGCCAAAGGCCAGTCAGTAACCACAGCACTGCCACACATTCACGGGTGACGGCTCTAGAGGCGCAAAACAGCCGTTAGTTCCCCCTCTGGTATGGTGAGGTTATCTGTACGCCCATCTAGCTATGGCATCGTTGTTTTCATCCCTCAAAATCGATCGAACAAACTTGAGCACATACGCAAGCACACGCACACAAGCGTACATAAATAAGCAAAAAAAGTGTTTCGAGTGTTCGAGCTCTCACACCACTTCCTCCTCATTGTCAGTGCGGTGTAATGTGTGGGCAAAGATATCTGCGGACAACACTACTACACGTTTTGTGTATGCTTGTGTGAAATGGTCGGTCGCACGGCCCCAGGCAGCCCCCGCCACACCTACAGGTAAGTATTCAGCAGAGCCATAATGCCTTTCTCCATTTCGCAAGTGGACGGTATATTTCAACCCCTACGGCAGTAGGTACGGGATTAACACGCAGCCGTATACACTTCCTCGCGCTCCAGCCGGCCCAGGCGCTATGCGGATAGCTGCAGTAGAGCCTGAGGGCCACCAGCTGCAGCAGTAGACCCAACAGCTGCACGATGGCGTGATGGCACGATGGCCAAGTGATGGCGTTACGGCATGGGCTGATGCATCCGTGTTGAACTGGCTCGGGATGGCCGCCCCCCCCGGCAAGTTCGCCACAACACCTAACTTGTGGAATTCGGCTTTCCGCTGGTCGACCACAGATGAATGGCATTTTGCCTCCCCCTGTCCTCTTGACCTCGACTTTCCTCGCCCTTAAGCCGCTACTGCTCCCACTCCAACCCCCAGAGCTCCTCTTCCGTCGGGTAGTACTGCTGCTCCTGCTGCGGCTTTCCTGCCGCTGCCACCATCACACCACATTGCCCACACACGTAACGTGTGGTGACCTTCTCGTGTGATGTCTCGTGCGAAGAAGCTTCAAGGGCCGCTGCTGTAGAGCCTGCAGACCCTCCTCGGCCCCCGCATACAGAACACACCGACCGAATAGCAACGAGAACAGCAGCAGCAGCAGCAGCAGCAGCAGCAGCAGCAGCAACAACAGTCTTACGCCTGCGGCACTGCCTGTGCGGGCTGGTCAGTGCTGCTGCTGGCGGTCTTTGCTGCCTTGGCCGCCTCGCGCTCGGCCTGCTTACGCTTCTCCCGCTCCACGAATTCGCGCATCATCTCCTTGGCCGCGGCCAGCTTGGAAAGCACTCCCTGAGGCCATGGAAGGGCGTGACGCGAAAGACAGAGCAAAGAAAAGGAAAAGGAAAAAGCACAGCGACTTCAGAAGTAGAGGAAAAATGAGAAGCCAGACAGCCAAGCCCGACACATTTAAGAGAAGGAACCGGCAAGGAGGGAAGCTGAAACAAGCAAGGGACGAAGGTACATTAGGAACAAAAAGAGGGAGAGAGAGACGAGAGAGAGAGAGAGACGAGAGAGGTGCAGCATGCGAAATGACCATCCCCTAGTACCCTTTTAGGCTTCTAAAAGCCACACCCTCCTCTCTCACCAGCACGCCATCATCCTCTTCACCCGGCCCAACACTTTAACCTCCACAATCCACCTGCCCTCTCTTTTTTTGCGTCGCACAGGAGGACCGTCTGTGCCGCATATGCCGTCGCACGTCCTGCACTTCATATTCCCCTATCACTTAAAACCCCCTCTTCAAGCCTAAGCAGGTCGACCGGTCAAGTGTCTGGCCTCCAGGCCCTGCAATTACCGTCCTTCCACCACCGTAAGCCTACGCACCTTGTACATGAGCAGGTCGCGGTTCACCGCCTCCGGCTTGATGCCCACCGACTTCACCAGCCTCTCCAGCGCAGCGGGCTCCTTGGCACCGGTCAGCTCCAACAGACGGAACAGCCCGATGGCGACGAACTTATTGTAGGAGAAGGCGTCCGCGGCAGAAGCGGCCTTAATTGCATCCAGGGCTTTCTGCGGCAGGACGAGGAAATGGCGCGCGCGCGAGAGAGAGAAAGTATGAGGTTGGTGGAGGGGTAAAGAGCAGTGGGCAATGTGAAACGAGACGCAAGGTGACACGCAGGACACGGGGGCGATAGATAAAAAACCAATTGGAGGCGGCACTGTGAATGAGGAGAATGCGCAAAGGTAGCAGGTAGCCCATGGCCTTTTGCCACATTGTCAAACTTGTTCCTCGCCGCGTTTAAAAGATCATATCTTGGCTTAACGCTAACGCACGGGTTTTACATCGTGTTTGAACAGAACCGCTCAGAATGTTCTCGCTGTGCGTCTTGCCTTGTATGATGTGTTCAACACCTCAAATGAACTTCACAAAGCCTGCATCCAACCTAATCTAGAACCCTTTCATGCGCGTGCTTAGCAGCAGGTTGGATAGTCCAACCTGCTGGACTATCCAACTGTACATCGCACCCACTGGCCTGGGTACCACTTCTTAGTGCCCCTCTTTGGTTTCCACAGGATGCCATCCACCCCTCCCCCCGATAGCTTGCCAGTAGACAGCTAACATTGCTGTCCATAATCCTTTCTTGTTGTTATCGATATGAGTTTGGTTGTCAATCCAAGCCCACCCCATACGAGCACACCCCCAGAGAGGAAGAACCCTGACCCCAGGTGCGCGTGCGCCATGGCATTCGCATTTCGCCACGCCTCTGATGATAAGCCCAAATGTATGCTGACGTCTACAAAGCAGAGACGATGCAAGAGGGGAGACACACACCTGGACATCACTGCCCTCAGCATCTGGCACCAGAGCATCCGGGCCGGACAGTGCACCGGCAGCCTTCTCAACCCGCTCCGAATCACGCTTGTAGGCCTCCGGGTCCTCACCCAGCGCCTTTACATACGACACAAATATGGCGTCCCGCTCGGACTGCGGAAGGGACTCCAGGATCTGCTCATAGACGCTGACGAACCCCAGCGCGAAAATCTGCGGTGCGACAAGTAGGTGTTGGGAGATCCCTGATTAATATACAGACATATGCCAATTAGTGATTGCCAGCCCTCAGTCCGTTAAACCTTTGTGCACGCGCGATGCACGCGGCATTCTCCTATCCCGTGGCTCACCGATGGAACGCACCTCATTGTAAACATAATCCTTGCTGTAACGCATAAAATGCTGCTGCACAAGGAGCTCCTGCAGAACTGTGCTGTAAATGCTGGCGATTGGCTTGCTGTAACCCTCAAAAAACTTGGCTTTCGTCTCAGCGACGGTAGGTGGGGTAAAGTTAGCTGCACAATAGGAGGAACTCAGTTGGAAAGGTCATGACAAATCCCAAATGACCTCCTAACGGACGTACCAGCCAGAACTCGCACGGCGACCGCACGTCCAGGCTTTGCCAGTCGCACAGGCGTGGGCTTGGCCCTGCGAACATACGCGCCAATGCCTAAGAAAATCGATCGCAGAAGCAAGCCATATCGGGTAGGTACCTTGAGGCGGCAGCCGCGACTGGCGCGCTGCGCTGCAGAGTTGTGAGCATTCTTGTGGTGAGTGGAAAAGGAGCACAACAGATATCGTAACGCTGGCTTCAGATCAGGAATGCTAAATAAAGCACTGCTGATTGCGACTATATGATAGAATGTGGTTGTCAGGGTGACGCCAAACCTGGGGCTCTGGAGGAGTACCGCACAGTTGCTCCGAAACTCAGAGCGAGCAAAGTAACCAAGCTCTATTTGCCTTTGCGTGATAAGGATCTGGTAATGGCCCTGATCCTGCGTAAGCGCCCGAGTAAGAACTTTGGAATTGTGGCCGCTCCAGAACCAAAATGATCTGAGACAAAGGAAGGATCCCTTAGACGAGATGATGCTAATTGAATTGCTATACGATAATCATGGCAGCTATGACCGTTTCCTTCGCGTCTCCGGCAGCTTCCGTCTCGCGAGCTTTGGTGCGCTCGCAACACTGCGGTGTGCGTTTCGGAATTCGCCGGCTGCCAATTTGCAAGTCTCAGTTACGAGATGCCGCTCCTGCTAGCGATGGAGATCTCCTGAAAGGTGGGACAGAGTAAGCATTCGGGAGGTTGATGCATGTGCGCTCCTCCCGCAGACCTTACATCTGCCGATCGGCTGTAACCATTTTGGGGGCCAGGCATCTAAACTTGCAACCATTCCTATTGGGGAAACGCAGGCGTTACCATGCCGGTTATCGCTAGCATTGCAGCAGTTGTCACGTCCGCAGCAGCCGCGCGGGCCGAGGATGTCACGGTGACGGCTGCCGCTACTGATGCAGCACCCGCTGCCGGTGGTTTCGGAACAGGCGAGGCCGTCCTCCTCTTGACGCCGGTCTTCGTGTACGCGCTGTTCAACGTTTATCGGGACCGCGTAAATCCGCAAGCAAAATTCTTGGTATGTGGGCCTTATTAAAGGGCCGTGCGGGAGGTCCCATGCGCTTAGTAATCCCTTGCTTTAGTAGTTGATGGGACCAGCTCGGGAAGGGGGACCAGCTCGGGAAGGAGAATAAAAGTCATGCTTCCGATGCGCGTCTTCCCGTACAAGTCCCATCTCCAATTTTACATGTCTTGGCCTTCGCTGTCCCGCGCCGATTTGCCCGTCGCCTTGCCGTGGCTCAACTACTTCAAACTATGCACGAATTTCCAGCTTGGACGGGGCATGGCCTTTGGCTTACCGTATCGTGAACTTAGTATGATGTGGGAAAGGAGGTTGTAGGCTGCAGGTCCGGCTGCCAGCTTACCGATGAACCGACCGGCCGAGTGATCTCTGTGTTACCCCTGATTCCGTTCCCCCTCTCTTTGCAGCGTCTTTGCGTGGCCATATCCCCTCAGTCGGCCCATGCGCGTTTACCCCCCCCCCCCCGATAGCTCACGGCATCGCCACTGCTGCTCATGTGCTACCTCACTCCCAACATCAAACATACATGCATGCGGTTTTGCGTATGTGGTGCAACCTTCTTAACATGCATGCATGCATACGAATAAGTTGTCTTGTTGTGTGATGCTATCTTGTACAGCCAGTGGGGCTCACCCTTTACTCACACACCAACACTTCGTCCTAAATGAAGTTGGGGCCCCCCATGATACGATGAGGGTGGTGATGCAATGACGGCGGAGAGGCATTGAGGCGTAACTGGGGCCCCAGAAAGCTCTCTTGGCGCTTTTTTGTTTGTTGCATGGCGATCCCTTCCCGGCGATCCCTGGATTTGGGTCTTAAAAATGTTCTCCCAGCGCCACCTTGATGCCATGTTTCTTTTTTCTACGATGCGTTCGTGCGCGGCAGCTGCCCAAGCCCCTCGCCTCTCTCTTCCCCGTTCTCTCTTCACCTCATCGCGCTCCTTTACCGTCGCATCCGTTGCCGCAGGACTATGTATACATCATGGCCGCGCTGGCTATCTTTGCAAACATCTTCTCGATATTGGTTTTCAAGACGCGCTTCTTCTGAGAGGACAGGGGCAGCGAACGGGCTCGAGTAGACAGATGGACTCGGAGGGAGCGGTCGCCATCTCCTGTTTTGCCTGCCTGGTTCAGTGGTAGTCCAACCAACCTAGATGTCGGTCGGGTTTTCTGTTCTTTGGGGATCTGTTAGGGAGATGTTGCCTGTGAACCTGGTTTTACCCGGTCTGGAGATCGCAAAGGGACACTTTCAAAAGCGTCTTGCGCTTTCGCGCCGCGATACTTGTTAGATGTGTGTTTTTCCTGGGTTGCACGTTAAGTTGGCGACGACGCTAGGCGCTGCAACGTCCGATGTGCCACCTCGTCGGGTCTTGTTGCAGTCTTGTTGCAGGGGGGGCCACAGATCTGTGCTAGAGTGCCCTTGCGAAGGTGGGGAGTGGAGGGAGTTGTCCCCAGCGGTCCGAGTGGAGGAATGGTTGGTGTCTTGGGTGGATACTGGACCGTGTAAGGGCGCTCTGGATGGATGTGATGCTTTCAGCTGATAGGGAGGCGCAGATTGAGCTTTGCTTGACAGGTTCTGGGTCGGGTTTGAGATCATGCCGGTAGGCACGATAGGGTCATCCCCCTGGGGTCATGTCTGGACAGAATGGCGGAGGATTGTCATCAGATCCACATCCCGAACGTGGGGTGATGGCAGGCCGTGCAGTAAGGCACTGCTGTATGGTATTGCGCGAGATTCTAGGGGAGGCTAGGGGCTCCCTTGAGAGGATCGCCTTCAGCCGTAAGTTTTAGCCCCTGGCCAAGCCATTGCGCAACGTGAAAGCCATCGCCCATTCCACGTTTACATAAATGGTGGCGAAAGGCCAAAATGGCTCATGGGAAAACTATTCTTTCAGGTAATTTTGAGTGAATTACGCGGAAACTGGAGCAAATGGCTGCATTGTGTGTTGGCTAACCTGTCGAGGGGAAAGGCACTGCTGCTCTCAGACGAGGGCTGCAGGAACGTGTCGTGGAACATAGTATGCATATGATATGAGATTGCGAGTATCAAGCTTTGGTATGAACAGATTGTGCAAACAAATGAACGTTCCTTAAGAAGCTAGAACCGACGCAGTTGAAGATGAGCACAGATGATCAAGTGGTGTATCGTAGCCCTTGCCGTTCTATAGCACGTTAGGATGTCGGCACATCACAGGACATTGTGCAACAAGTTGAGATGACGTTTAGGTGAATGCGTTTTATGGCAGTTTGCGGAAGCTTGCGGGGAACGTTAAAATCGTCAAATGCATACTGATGTACCGCACATATCCTTCTTCATGCGTGCGATGGAAAAAACGTCAATCATTAATATTTCCAGCCAAAAATGTGATCATTAATATGGCCAGGCGCGGAGATGGGAAGGCGCGGGCGAAGACGCGCGCGGAACAGGGACAGGAAACTTGCCTTGCAAACGCCTGTTTTACAGCTTCTGGTAGCGATAACGCGAACATGAACTTTTGGTGGAACGCCTGTCTATTTGGCGGTCACGGGATTTGCATAGCCGGTTGCCTGTTATTCTACCTGGCGTTCCCAAGACTATGGACGCAGCGTTAGGATGAACAATAACCGGCAATTGCAAAGTTTATTGTACACCAGTTACTAAAATTTTCTTTCACGTCTTATGGAGAAAGGGCACCCCTATGAACATGTACGGAAGCGCGTGTTGGAGGGTTAGACATTTTGGCCCAAGGCCTGCAAGTGCTGGTGCATACTTGCTCTTGATGAGGAGCAGGTGATCGCGCCTTTAGTGTGCGAGACACCCTGCAATACCTGAGGACGGCCTTTCAATTGCGATATTCATATCGGGACCGCGGGTCTGAGTTTCATCCGAACACGTACATACTCAAGGACAGATCCTATAAATACGCAACAGGAAATGTCCACTACAGCAGCGGCCCGCGTCAACCAGCGAGGCCGCAGCTAAGGACAATGGTGTCCTTTTCTGCGCCGTGGTAAGCGGGCCGCCCAGTTATCAACTGGGCGGCCCGCTCGCAGCCTTGAGCGCAGACATGGGTAGCGGCGATGCTGGTGGCGTTTTAGTGTCGCCTGCGCCCACCTCGATGGGCGGCCTGACGACGGCTGTGGGGCGACTGCTGGAGCCTGAGCTGATAGCCTTCTCGTCTCATGGAGGGCACCACCTCTTTATTAACCGGATCCCGCCAAGATTGCCAAAAGAGGATGTCGAGAAAATTATCCTGGCACAGCTGCGGCTTCATCCGTTCGTGCTCCAAGTTTCTAAATGCAGTGTAATACCACAAAACAGTCTGAAGAACAAAGGTTACGGTTTCATCACCCTGGATGGCTCCCCATCACCCTCGGACCTTGACGCCATCGCAAAGTCACTGAACAACAAGCTTCAGGTGCGAGCTCCGTTGGTGCTGTAAAGCCAAGTATCATTTCGAATTTACCAGGGGCATATTATCATACCTTAATGAAAGGAGTACAGATTTTCATTACGGGCTTTGGACAAAGGGAGGTCAAAGTCTCGCCACACGTTGACGCGGCCCAATGGTTCCTTTGTGCAGGTCGGCTGTCGAACGCTGGGCGTCCGCGTATGCACGGACTGTCACAGCGCTTGCTACGGTGACGATGACGGCTGCGCTTCTTCTTCGTCTCGCTCCTCTACTCCCCCAAACGAACCGGCAACTTTTGACCTTCCGGACGCCCAGTCCTCCCAGGCCGCAATCACCACAGTCGACGAGCAGCTGAGCGTCGACTGCCTTGAACCCACAGCCGCAGCCGCCCCAGGTGAAGGCGATGCGCTGGGCGCAGCGCCAGACCAGGCGATTACGCCGCCAGGAGTGATGAAGAACGTGGTCACATTGCAGCAGGACATCCTACAGACCGCCGTCGCCGTTTTGGCACAGCAACACCTTGTTGCTATGCCCTCAGCCGTGACCACTGCGGACCAGCAGCGCCGGCGCAAAGCCATGAAGCCCGGGCAGGATCGAAGATTGCAAGTCGAACACAGCCGGCACCAAACGCACCAGCATTATCATAACCTTTACTCGTCCCAGTCGCGCCAGCAGAAGCTGCACCAGGGGCCTGGCATGCAGGAGGGACCCAAGTGGCGTGCGGGCAGAGGGCTACCCACCGGGCCACATGGGTTGGCACACGCAGCTGTCCGCCCGAGGCGGACCACGGCCGATGCCAGCCCCTCCATAGCGGCCCCAGGAGATCTACAGGCCTTAAATGCTCAGCCGCAGGCATGGGAGCGTGACATTGATGCTGGGGGACTAAGTTCAGAAGGGCCGCCTGCTACGCTTTTGCCGCTGCACCAGACAACCACGCTGCCGAGTGAGCAACCACAGCAGTCACAACAGCCGCAACAGCAGTCAGTGACAGCAGCTGCAGTGGTGTCGTTGCAGCAGACGGAGGGCTGTGAGTTGAACGTGGCTCCGGTGTTAGGTTCACCACGCTCCGTCTCTAGCTACAGCTCAGCTCCTGGCTCTGTCCAGGGTTCAGCACCGTGCTCGGTACCAGAGTCCGTGGCGGGATCTGGGTCGGCTGAGGCATCCCGATCTGGGTCAGGTCGGGTGTCGGGATCCAGCTTCGGTGGCTGGTGCGGCAGGGAGGATACAGGTGACCTACGCATGGCGCCTCCGTCTGGCGGACTTCTGCAGCCACCGTCCTCAGGCACAGCCCAGCTGCCCCCCACCGCAGCTCCGTCGGTCTCAGCACCGCCCGTGGGTTTGTGCAACACTGGGGGGGATGCCCCGGTCAGGATCGGCTCCGTTGCTGCTACCTTTGGCGCCTTTGTTACATCGCCACCGTCAAATGGTATCAGCAACAGATCGCCTACGGCCCAGCAGCAGCAGCCATCTCATCATCAGCAACAACACAGGGCCCCGCAGCAGTGGGAAGGCTTGCATCGGCAAATTCCGGTTCCTATCCTACGCGAACGCGATGCCTCGGATGGTGGCCCCGCATGCAGGCTGCCCCCGCCTCCACAAGACCAACAGCATCTTACATTTGGTCCCCTGCTGCCGAGTCAGCAGCAGCAGCAAGGGGCACAGCAGCAACCGTCAGCGCAGACGCCGTCACAGTATTCCGCACCACGCGTGAGTCACATGCAAGTGCGCCAAGCACCAATGCGTTCATCTGGGCCTTTGACCAGGCACTCGCGCTCGCCGATCCATGGCCCACGGGCGGGCCCTGTGTCAACAGCGGCGACGGTGGCGCCGGCGGTGCTCGCGCCGCACAGCCGCGGTGGTGGCCGCGGGCAATTTGCTGTACCTCAAAGCGTCTCAGCGCAGGCACAGATGCCGGCGGTGGCGCCGCCCGGACGGCAACCCCAACCGTGGGCGGCTTCACATGCGTCTGGGTGTGGTCCTATGGGCCAAGCGCATCTGCAGAGTGCCTCGGCGCCCACGTCGTCTTCTTGGTATCTGCACCAGTACCACCGGCAGCATCAAAATCGCCAGAGCTGTATGCATCACCCGCCGCCGCCGCAGCAGCAGCAAGCTCAGCAGGGCCCGCACGCGCAGACCGCACCTTACGCATTCGCAATGACTTGCAGCGGTGTCGATGGTGATGGCCACTGTGTCGATGGCTTACGCACAAGCAGCTGCGGTACGAGTGCAGGCGTGGTCCCTTTGGGGTCGCATGGTTGCAACACGACGCGGCTGCAAAGACCGCTCCAGGGACAGGGCCCTGAGCAGGCGGTGGTGCAAGGGGCACCGCCTGGCCATCCGCCTGGGATCCCGCGTCCGGCTTGGGTTGAGGGGACGCAGAGTGTGGCGTCGGGGGATTCGGGATCCGGATTGGATGTTCACGGCAGCTACCCCGGCGGCCCTGCTTTGGCGGGCATTTCGCAGCCACCAGTTGAGAAGAATGATTATCCTCAGCCACCGCAGCTGCAGCAACAACATCAGTTGCAGTTCCACCTACAGCCGCCTCTGCTGCCACAGCCGTTATCGCAGCAGCCCCGACCGGCCTTGCATATAGTCAGTTGCGTTCCGGCGTCTGGCACGCAGTCACAGCAGCCGCAGCAAGCATTGGCAAATCCCACGTACGAGTTCATGCAGGAACCACATCGGCAGCACCAGATGGACCTTCACTTCCCGTCGCCATCACCACCACCACAGCAGCAGCCGTCCGTGGCCTCTCGTTTTCCTGAGCAGCAGCCGTCCGTGGCCTCTCGTTTTCCTGAGCAGCAGCCGCCGCCGCGGCAGCAGCAGCGGGAGATGTCGGTGCCGCTGCCGTTGCCGCAGGAGCAGGCACAACAGTCTCTGTTGCAGCAGAGGCCATTCCTGCAGCTACCACTTTGCTCACAGCCACCTCAGCCGATGCCCCCGCCGCAGCAGCCGCAGTCGCAGCCGCAGCCGGCCTCGTTTGCGCAGAGCTTGGAGGGCGGCGCCTTGGTGCGTGCGCAATCCCACTCGTCGCCGCCGCAGTTGTCCCCTCAGGGCTGCCAGCCCTCTCTGCCATCCACACCGGCCCAACCGCTTCTGTCGTTACATCCGAGCGTGGATGAGAGCTGCCTAGGTGGGTGTGGGATCGGAGGAGCGCGGAGCTGTGCGAGTTGGTTCTGGGTGGTGTTTCTCATGGCGTGGCGATGGTGGTGGTGGTATGGAGTGTTCTGACGTGTAGGGATGTGCCAATAGGTGTCCGCACTGACGGCATATCGAAAGTAGGGATCAACTTATTGAGCTGCCGTCGTGGTTATGGTACGGCTGGTTACTGATCCCGTACGTACTCGCTTACTGAAGGGTGGAGTCTATACACCTGTTCGTATGCGCAGGTTTTAGATTACTGTTCACCTCTACATGAGGCTGCACTGGAGATAAAAGACTCCGCAATTGCGTGCAGCTAGAGCCACTGCGTTGCGCCAACCAGAGCAGGATTGACATAAGCGTTTTTTTTCGGGGCTAGTTGTATACACGACACGGATGTGGCGACGACTTGCACATTTGGCGCACATTCGGATCGATGTGTGCAGTTTGTCTTTTGTCGTGTCTTCGCTGCGCTCATTCGTTCGATTTACTGACTTCCCTTCACCGTCTTGTTTCCCTCGTTACGCAATTGTACGAACAGGATTGGGGTCTCACAGGTTTCAGTTACGGGGCGCAGCACACCAGCCGCTGATGGCGTCCGCGCCGTCGGGCTTTGCAGGCTGGCGTGGTTGCGGCTTTGATCTGGATTTTGACGTGCACCGAGGACCGAAGGTTGGGGTTCCGGAGCTGCAGCTCCCTGCAGCAGGTCAGGTGGGCTCACTCGGTGCAGCAGCCGCGTCGGTAGCAGCGGCCCTGAGCGTGCGTTCGACGGAGCTGCTCTTAGGCCGCGGCAGCTCGGACGGTTTCCAGGACCCAGATCAAGGGGGATCCGCGGACTCGGCGGATCTGGATCCATTGGATCTGGAACCTATGATCCTGCAGCTCTTGGAAAATGAGGACGACGATGGCGGCGGCAGCGGTGGCAGCGGCAGTGGTCGTAGCAGTGGCATGCCTGCGGCGGCGGCGGCAACACCGTTCGACAGTCGCGATACCAAGCCGGATGGCGAGTGGCAGCATGCCAACGGCCATCGCGGGCAGCAACAGCAGCAGCAACGTCAACACCAGTACCAGCATCGCCACCACTACGACCGGCAGAGCAATGCGCAACAGCGGCAGAGGCAGCCCGGAGGACTTGTCGTCCGCAGGTGGAGCAAGCCGCAGCCATCTGCCACGTGTCCGCCGCCTCAGCCCCCCACCGTGCTTGCCGCAACGCCAGGTCTCGGAGCAGGTGCTGCAGGCCTGGCCAAGCCAGGCCAGCAGCCGGGACGAATGTATCCTCAACCTCCTCAGCAACAGCAGCAGCTGACAGGTGTTGCGGCGGCCTGGGGCCTTCCCGGGTCTAGGGGGCCTTCCGGCGGTAGAGGAAGCGCTAGCATAGCGGCAGGCCCCGACCCGGCCGTTACTTCCCCTTCCTCCACGGCTGTCCGGCAGGCATTCGGCCCAAGCATGGTACAGCCGGGACAGGCTGCCGGCACCCCCACAAATGATCAGCGAGGCATGCTGCCAGGAACGGCAGCTGTTCCTGCGGCAGGTGCAGGCGCTATCGGGGCTCCCCATGAGAGTGGTGGCCAGGGCTCAGCCCCTGCTGGGGCATCGTGGGTCCCAGGACGTGGAGGCGCGGGTGCGGGAGGGCCCCCAGAACCTGGTCCTACCGGCTCCTACCAAAGCAGCGGTACTGTTAGCAGCGGCGGTGCTGCCGGAGCCGGAGGTGCTGGCGCTGGCGTGCACCGGCTTGGAGGCAGTTTTGGGTCCTCTGGTTCTGGAGCAGTCTGGCACCGGTTTGAGACCGGTGGCGGCGGAAAGGCGGCCGGTGCGGGTGCTGGCGGTGTTGGTGGCGGTCGTGGAATGGGGCCTCGAGGTCCTCGTAGCCACGGTGGCGGCGGCCGAGCCCCGAACGGAAACGTGGTCTACGTTGGACATGGAGGCCGGGTGTTGGGCCCGAGGAAGGCTGCGGGTGGGACTGGTAGCATCGGGTTCGTCGGGAGCGGGAACGCAAGCTTGGGAGTTGCGCAGTCGGGCGGCGGAGTCCGTCACAACACTGGCGGGGGGGCGGGAGGGTTTGAAGCGTCGGGGTTTGCACCCAGCTCCCTGCCCAATGCAACTTTGTTAGCGGTAATGCAGCGTCTGGACGCGTAGTCCGGCCGTTTGTTTACCCCTTTGACCCCCTGGGTGTATTTCAGGACAGGGGTCTGGTTATTGGGCTGAGGCGTCGAGAACAGATGATGAATGGGGTTTTGTGTGCGAAGGGGCTATGTTGAGAAAATGGAAATTGCGTCATCGGGATGTGGTGGTGCGTGTCTGCGTCGGCCGACTGGCGATGATGCGGTGCTGTTGGTGGTGGTGGTCGTGGTCGTGGTGGTGGTGGTGCCGCGGCGGCGGCGGCGGCGGCAGCCGATGGTGGTGGCTGTTGGGTTACGCGGTGACGGTGGCGGCGGCGTAGGCCGACGCTAGCGAACAAACTGCAAATACTAGGCCCATGTTGCGGGACTCTTGTCGCTCGGTGGCTCGTGGGCAGAGTATATTCCCTGCATTCCTAGCGTAACTTAGTCGGGCTTCCGCAGGCGGCACATGGACAGACAATATCCTAGCTTTTTGACACTTAGCTGTGCGGGGCTGAAGTCCAAATCGGGTCCATATACGTGGCCTCCACGAGGGCAACGGCTCGCGGTCAGAGGGTTAACTTTGCCGCACTGGCGATGCTCAGCAAGTCGAAGGCGGCTTTAAACATCATGCAGCTAGCGGCCTGGGGTCCTGAATGGTGTTCCGAGGCTGCCGGGGCAGTCGGGTTGGGAAACAAGGGGACGGTTTTTCGTGCCTCGTCCTTTCCCACACGGACTCGATCCTTAAAGGAGAGGAGCCTTTTTCCCAAGGGCAGTTTTGCACTGGACCGTATTTCCGTGCGCCGCTGGCATCACAAGGAAGGTGCGCAAGCGTAAGCGGCATCACCCGCAATAAAGCTCACAAAGTAACCGAAGTTAAGCTGCAGGAGGTGTCAGTGCGCGCCCCTCGCCACCTGTTTGGTGTGGAATAGACTGCACTGCAGGAATTTGGTCGTGTCTGGTGTGGGGGCTCAGCAGCTGTTTGCAAGGGGGATAGAGGCGCAGGGATCAACGGTTGCATGTGTTGGATGGGATGCTGGAGTCGAAACTGCAACATAATGTATGCGCGAATATACATGCACATGCGACACGGATACAGCTGCGGGCCCTTGCCTGTGTGCCCCTTGTCGTCTTTGCCATTTCGGTGTCAACGGCGAAATTGTTCTTACGAATACCCTTGTCAAGACGGGGGTCGTGGATTACGGAATGGCATGGCGGCGGATCCTTGAAATGAAGCGGGGCTGGGCGGTCATAATTGTTTCTTTTTCGCATGTGGGACCTAAGCAAGCCTATATCGGACCGCGGCCTTGACTGTTATGCGGCGGAGGAGCCGCTCGAAGGGAGTGAAGTTGGGGATTGTTTGAATCATTCGCAGACCGTCGGGCGGCGGCGGGCCCGTTCCTCCTTTCGCAGGGCGGGAAGGGATGCGCTTCGTGGTTGGTCAGAAGTGGGGGGCATTAGGGGCACAGCCTCAGGCGCTGGTTTTGCACGCCTTCACGGGCCATAAGATGAAGTCCCGTTTCTCCGTGTTATCCATTTGAATACCTGTTGTGGGCGTTGGGATTGCGATGTGCCCCCGCTCGTGGGTTGGATTTGTCCTTTGGCTGATGTTTGGGGAATGGCTGGGAGCTGGCGGAGGGATCCATTGTATCCGTTTCTGGTGTGCAGGGGAGCTTGACGAAAGAAGGAAAACACTTGCGGGCTTCACGGCACATTGTTGCTAGGTGCGGTTGCTCTGGGGACCGGTGGCGACCGACACCTTGGGCGTGAGGGGGGCTCCTTTGCGTGTGTGCATGTCTGTATGTTTACACTCGCGCGTGCACGTTTTTGTGTGTTTATATGTGTGTTTATATGTGTGTCTCTGCGATGGTTGTGAAACTGCCGGCCGGCGGGTGTGGCGGGCTGCTGTGCGGCGTGTTGGGATCTTGGCTCGGGTGTCGAGGGGCCCCCCGATTGGGAAGCGCGCATCGGTTTCTTGCGGCAGCTTGCCGCGGCTTTGTCGTGGCCGCATTTGAGCCGTTACTCTTGCCGGTGCTCTACCTGTCCTCTGCTGGCTTAAAAAACGCACCTGACGCTACCAAAGTTGCCGGTCCCTTGCGGGACGACTCCTGGGCCATGGGCGCCCCCTCGCAAGCTGTGTGTTTATGTGTCGTGTGTGTGTGTGTCCTTATCGGGTATGTCGCGTGTGTCTGTGTCTGTTCAGGTGAGGACCACTTTCAGTCGCTAGAGATTGGAGATGTAGGAGGAGGTTTTGCAATCCATTCTTTATTCCTGGGTTTGTCGTTGTCCGTTTCCATGTCTACGTGTGTGTGTGTAGTTATGTGTGCCTGGAAGGGGGTTTATAGCGGGTTTGGGAGGGTATGAGCTGCATCGTCCGTTGCGCGATGCAGCGCACTTGATGGGCCTCTTGTTAGATTGTAAGAACCGGTGGGGCCGGTGGGTGCTGCTCCAATTATGTTTTACTGTAGCAGCACATGGAGGCAGACAGTCGCAAAAGGCGGCGGAGCAGTTCTCTTTTGCAAGAGCGCTGATTATGTGGCTAACGCGCTTGCGTTTGATACTTTGAAGCGCGCAGCTGTCTCTCTCGAGATTAATAAGACGAAGAGTTTGAAGTTCAGACCGGGCCACTGCCGCTCTCATGAGTGCCGTTGAGTCTTCGTGATGGCGCTCTTCTTGCCTGTTTTTGACCTTTGGCCCGCCGGGTGGTCGGGTCCTTTGTGGCGCTCATCACGCTCCCCCTTCTCTCTCTGTTCTGGGCGCCCCACGACCGTTTTGTGCGGTAGCTGTACTTCATTCTTTGCGCCCCGTTGTCGCTGCTGCGCGCTGCGGGGTTGGTGGTGTGGTTGGACCCAGTGGTGAACCCCTGATTGGCTTTCCGTGTTGGTCGCAATTTTATCATCAATCGGTTACTTCTGGAGTTTGGAATTTCCATCTGTCGGAAGGGAGGGAGATGGTTGAGTCAGCAGGGTCACGGCAGCGGTCAACTTGTCGCCTCCGCCTTGGAGAGGCTTGGCGATGACTCTTCTCCTAGTTGCTGTGAGGACACGGCGCAGCCGTGCTCTCTGTTTGGGCACCTCCCTCAATGGCCCCCCCTACCGTCAATGTTCCAGAAATGTCTTAACTTGGCAGCCGATGTGTGTTGCTGGCGTTATTGCCAGTAGGGCTCGTTATCCAGCTATATGTTTTACCACGCCTTGTTGATTGTTTTTACCTTCTCTTGCTACAGGAGCAATAACAAGAATGAAGGGGCGACGGAATGACCTGCCTGCATTTGGTGGATGGGGATGAGTTACAGTCAGTTTGAGCTTAAGGTTTAATAGTGTTAGCTTAGGTTTGCGAGGTTGTAGTTGTTGAGGCGCTGGGGTTGTGGATTGAAGATTTGTTTGTTTCGGGCGGGCGACAAAAAGGGACGCGACCGGACAGTGAAAAGCTCGAAATTTGGCGGCGGCGGAGAAGCATTGTTGGGCGACACGGAGGAGAAAGACATTAGACCGTTCCCGAAGCTATAACCACTGCTGCTGGCGTTTTTCTCCTGCTTCTGCCGCTCATTTCGCACATGTCTCCCCTCTCCCTTTCTGAGGACCTGGACATCGCCGCTTAAATCGTGCTGAAGGCTGGCTACCATGGCTACAGCGCGGGTTGTGCAGGCGAAAGGGGCGGGGGGTATGTTTGCAACTCTCAGGCGTGGCGTTGAACCGCGGGTTCCATGCATACGTATGTCTGTAGGCACGTACGTCTGTATGTGTGCGTGGGACTGTTATGCCAGGGCGGTGTGCGGGTGACATGCTCCAGACCAGGAACAGTGCAAAACAAGTCAGCCGGGAAAAGACCGTACGCGCGCCGACCGGACTTGACTGGACTCGATCGGTCCAGGGGAGGGGCACCTGCTTATGTGAGATACCAGAACGGAGTATGCCTCCATCAGAGCGGACCGGGAGCCCGGAACTATTTCGAATTTGTGCCGATGGGTCCTGTGTTTGCGGGTGTTGGGTGTGTTGCATCGGGCGCACGGGGAAAAGGGGGGTAAGGTGGTCAGGCAAAGCAAGGAATGTAGCACCACACGCGCGCACACACGCATACACACACACGACGACATCAGTAACAACCGCGTAACCCTGCAGGCTGTTGCGGACACACCGGGGGCATGTTTTCGGAGGAGCTTTCGCGACCGGAAGATGCATCTGTGTATGTATACATATACCTTATCGGATCGTGTCTCTCTATGGCTGCAAACCCCCTTGCAGGGTTCAGGGTATCTTGAAGGGAGGGCAATGGACGTTTCGCTGTGGGTGAGGTTGGGACTTGATCTTCTGCTGCTTTTTCGGCCTCCCCATATCCCCCCGTTCCTACCCCCTCATATCCCCTCACCCACCCAGCACGTGTTCACGTTCGCACACGGTTCGTTGGCGCGGTAGGCTTTGTGGGTCCTGACTCTTTTGCCTTGTTGCGCATGCTTGTTGTGGAAAGAGGGAGGAGGATTTCGCCCAAGTGGGCGTTGGGATGGGGTCGTAGCCCGCCCCCTGGTGTTCAGGAAGGGGCGTCGGAACGGAGGCAACGAAGCGGGTGAGGAAGCAGCAAGGCTGCCGCATGGTGTGTGTGGACCAGACTGTGCCTATAGCTGATGGCGGAGAAAAGGGTCTTAAAATGGCGGATAGGACTCACCATCCGGCCCCGAACCGTGTCGTGTAGTGTGGTACGCTCCTCCCTAGAGGCGTTACGGCAGGCTGCAGCGTCCCACGTGTACGGCGGCAGTCACGCGCAGTCACGTGCCAGCTTACCCCTGGTGGTGAGGATTGTTGATTGTTTGTGGTGAGATGCCGTCGCTCATGTTTTCTTTTTCTATGCAAATTTCCAACCGGCTGAGCCCCTTACGGGTGGCGTTACGAGAGCGAGACCGTGAGATAGAGCAAGAGGGAAATTTCACCGGTTGTCAGGTCGGTCAGTTCTTCGTGCTAGCGGCCTGGTAGCGGCATACTCCCCAGTGGGTAGATTTGTGATGTGGTCAGGACAACAACCATAACGGCGCGAAATTTACTCTGCCACGACGGCACGGTTTTTTGCATAGCGGCATTAGCGCGACTACACCAGTATAGTTACAGTGGAAAACAGGACATAGCCGGTGTGGCGGTGCGCGCCTAGAAGGCAGGGGTGTTGCATTTTGCATATGGCCTTAAGAGGAGAGGACGCAAAGGGCAACAGGGCGGGAACCACCCTGTTCAGGATGCCCTCCACCACGGGAGCAGCTGTAGCTATGTGCAGCAACAGAGAGGACGTACCACCTCGTGGACAGAAACTCCGCTTGTTGTGCTCATCATCCCGTGTGTACCAGGAAAGCATATCACCACCCAGCTATCAGCGCAGACCGCACCATTAGTGTCGTCATGTTCCTGGTGGACGGACGTGAGCAGCAGTGGGAGGCACGGAATGAATGCAATGGTGCCGTGCAGCTGTGGGGACGGCCAAGTAGGGTGGTTAGTGGTGTAGAAGACGTTCTCTTGTTTCCTTGCAGGAAGCCAACGGGTAGGTGCGGAAGGACAGGAATCCGGAGGCAGAGTCCGCTGCTTGAGCATTGCATCAGCAGTTGCACGTAGGGTCTGTAGGTGTCGCAGTTCACCATAATTACCTACAAGCGGAATCGTGTTAGGTAGCTCTCCTGTGGTTGGTTTATTGGGCATGATGCATGATGCACTCTCGGTCAAACCCTTCCAAGGAAGTGCTATTCTTTCCTTTCTCTCCTCCCAATCTTTTTGAGCTGCGGCAATGATCATATGGCGCTCTCATCCTGTCGGCCTGCCTTGCCAGGCTAGTAGTTGTTGCCTCATGGCACCACGACGCAGTTTTTGGCCCACCCTTCGGGCTCCTGCAGGTCGCGGTCCTGCAGCGGAGGAGCCGCAGAGAGCACATGATTATCTGCGAGGTTATGAGGTACCGGGGCGGTGGAACTGCGACTGCTGCCTCGTAACGGCTTGGAAAGTTGGAATTTTTATTATATGGCTAGCTAGCACCTTCCCTTGTCCCCTCTTGTCGAAGTCCCATACTGAAAGGGCGCCCCTGTAATAAAATGGCAACGTTGTAGCTGTAGCTTAATGACATGGCCGAGTCAGCAGTCCGCCAGCAGTATCCGGAACAGTACGGCATAGTACAATGTTGCTTAACGCACTACTGTCGCCGAACGCGGCACCATAAAAGCCCGTGCGAACGTGGGAGTCCTTACTAGACCTTCCAGCGGCAACGAACAAATAAGTGGGATTTACTGTGTTACAGTGCACTAAGACTTTCCAGATGGTTTACAACCAGGGGCGGGTTGGGCCGCCGACTTGGTGAAGGGATGATGGATAGAATAATCCTGCCAGCTACGTATAAGAAGATGGAAGCCTCGTTGGTTTGGGGGAGGGAGAGAAAAAGGGGGATGGTAGAGAGCAGCATGGAGGCGTCATTTTCCCCCCAGAGCCGCCCGGAGGATAGAGAGTGTTGGAGAGCCTGGGAAAGGCGGGGATGATCGGGGAGGGGAGGGGGAAGGCGGAGAAAGCTCCTCTGCTAGTGAAACGACCCCAAAATGGGAAAGAAGGGCAAGGTTACCAGAAGCTTCGGTGAGCGCCGCAACAAAACACACACGTTATGCCGTCGTTGCGGTCGCACCAGCTACCACCCCCAGAAGCATGCAAGGTCTGCTGGCCAAACACAACGGCAAGATACAAGATACATGTCGCAGCCAAACAATGGACAGAGCTCGGGCTGGATGTGGTCTGCATACAGGAGACCCACCACACCAATGCCCACCACCAATCCCTGTTTGAGCGCGAACTAAGCATGGCAACGGAAACAGCCCACACCCGGGGCTGACAAGTGCCGGCAAGCTCACGTTTAAACTTTATCCACGGGGGAGGTCCTTACTCTTATCCTACAAAACCTAACAGCTATCGTAGAGCCCAAGCCTACTACCCGCGGTGCGCAGGGTCGGTTTACAAGCTGCCTGATCTGCTGGGGAGGACACCGCATCCATGTCTGCAACATCTATGTCCCCAACGGCACCGGGCGGCAGCCCTTAGGCAAGAACTGATCAGCAACGTCCTGGCAGCAACTGCCACAGATGCAAGCAGCGCAAACAGTGACACCATCATGCAAACAGTGACACCACCCTTATATGGGCCGGGGGGAATTCATTTTCGTCGAAAACCCAGCATTTGGACTCCACGGCAGGAGAGGAAGGACGGAGGGTGGAATGGGCCCATAGCAGAAATGCTTCGCGCAGCTGGACCAGCCATGATGGATAGCCATCGCCATCGCCAGCTCCATCCCCTGCGCCATGACTACACCTACCTCTACCGAGCGCCCCGTCCAGGAGGCTCCCGTCTGGATCGCATATACACGGATCAGGCCATGATGCCGAACGGAGGTTATCCCGCACACCCCAGCGGACCACCAGCCGATGGTCCTACACTTGCTGCCCCGCCGGGTTGAAGAGGGGAGTCCTGGGATCCGCCGGGTGCACATGTCCTTCAGGACGCATGAGGACCTGGCCGCGGGCATGGAGGCCTGGATTACCGACCAGTGTGCCGCGGCCCCATCTGCGGAGGACAATCCTGCTGGCCTGATTGAGTGGTGGCCCGCTTTCAAACGCCGCCTCGCGGCCCGCGTGCATCAGCTCAACAAAGCCGAACAACAACGCAGGCTGCGACCGGGAGCCCGGGTACAAGCAGCCCTAGCAGCACTCCAGCAGGCCCGACAAGGAGTCGATGCAGATCCCAGTGGACAGCAGCCGCTGCAGCAGCTGGTGGACGCACAAGCGGCACTAGCACGGGCCCACCGAAAGGACTGTAGCAAGGATGCTATGGTGGCCCGAATCCACTGTCTACGCGGAAGGTGTGAGGCCGAGCCCAGCCATGACTGCGTTTATCCAGGCCCAAACCGCGGACCAGCAGCCGGCGCCTGCCGCCCTGCAAGCCCGATCTGGCCGATCTTTTGACCAAGCCTGTACAGCTGCCCCAGGTGGTCGCGGATTTTTCTGGAATGAAGTGAGCCGAGCTCCCAACTACAGCTCCCAAGCCCAGCAGGAGGTGCTAGGCTCCCTGGCGGCCGCCAACATCTCGCTACCCGCAGAGGCAAATGAGCAAAAAACGATTGCGGCCACCGAGCTGCGGAAGGCACTCAGGAAGAGCCAGCCAGGATGGCATCCCAGCCGGCATCCCAGCCGACATCTACAGGAAATTCTGGTCGGCCATTGACAACAACACCATGGCTGGCATGTTCACCGCCATCGGACCGACGGGACAGATACCAAACGGCTCCTTGGAGGAGTTCATTACAGTGATCTACGAAAAAGGCGACTCCCAAGCTCCCCGGCAACCACCGCCCGATCACCCTGCTATGCTCGGATTACCGGCTCCTCCACCGAAGTGCCGGCAAACCGCCTAGGCCCCGCCCTGGCCCAAGCCATCACCCCCGAGCAACCAGCCGTCCTGCCCAAGCGCCTTATTGGGGCCAGCGTACAATGCCTGCGCCACCTGTCACACCTCCTTCGCACGCAAAACTGCTGGGGGCTCCTGGCATTCCCCTGGACTTTGCCAAGGCATACGACAGGGTGGATCGCGGGTTCCTCCTCCTGGCGGCGATGGAGACCAGGGGAGCAGGGCCACAGCTCTGCGCCTGGGTGCGACTGCTGCTGAACAATACACGAGCCCGTAGCGATGGTGAATGGCTACAAGTCCAAACGGGTGTACATGGAGGCGGGGGTACGGCAAGGCTGTCACCTTGCGCCCCTGCTCTACCTCTCCATAGCCCTTGCTCTACAATGCTGGCTCCGGAACCAAAATGTGGGGATCAAACCACAGCCGACCGACTCACAGCCAGTAGCACCGCTTGTCAATATGCGAATGACACGGAAGGTGGCACTGGTGGGCAAAGAATCAGTACCCTCGTTCCCCCAGGCCATGGACACCTTCGCCCGGACATCCGGCCAGCGCCTAGATCTCGATAAAGTGGAGCTGCTGTGGAAAGCCCAATCAAACCAGCAGCAGGTGCAGCCTGCAACCCAGGCCGGACCCCAATCAGCTGCCCCTCAGCATGAGTCAATAGGAGGTCTCAAGGTGGTGACCACCGCCACCGCCCTGAACCTGCCGATTGACAACCAGCCATCCCCACCACAGCTATTCGACTGGATGAAGAAACCGGGGAAAGCCAAGGAACGACTGCAGCGACTCGCCCGCTTTCCGTTATCAGCATTTTCGGACGAACCACAACCCCATCAGCGTATGGCCTGCAAACAGTAATCTGGCACATGGAACATCGCGGACCACCCGCCAACAGCACGCTGGACGAGATAGAGCGCCTCACGGCCCGCCTGGTCGACAGGCAGCAAGGCCCAGAAGACCCCTGGGGTGACTGGTAGACGGGTGGGGTGAGACCGGGAGGAGAGGTGAAGAAGGCACCAAGAGGATGTAGAGTTGAGGAGTGGTAGGAGTCAGCAGGCGCCTGTAGTGAGGGCGCGGATGAGGGGGAGGTTGGTGCCCAGGAGGGGCCGTACTTTTACGTTAGTGCGTGCTGCAGGGCTGCTGGGTTCTCTCGAGGTACGAGACTCAGGAATCCTCGTGCTGCTGGACGTGGTGAGTTGGGAGAGGCGGGGTTGGGAAGTGGTCTCGGTAGGTGGTTTGGCGTCCTGTGGTGTGAGCTCTTCGCGCTCTTTCTACTTGAGGTTTTTGGAGCTTGGTGACCTCCCCAGCCCGAGATTGACCCTATTCCTCCAGGAGAACGTCTTCATGCCTGCAGGAGCTACGGCTGCAACTGCCAGTTTGTACCGTAGCTCCTGCCGTACCGGCCAGTTTGTACCACATCGACGGCGACAACATCGACAGCCACAAGGCCAGGGGGGGCTGCACATATGCGTTACATGTATTCCCGGTAAGTGTGGTGACATGGGGATGAATCAAAATGAAGATTCCTTAAAAGGGTGTAGGCGGGGGACAGATCCTCTGCTTTACCGCTGTAGGAGTTCCTTTCGTAGATATCATTGGGGACATCAGAAGGCACCAGTACACGTCTTCGAATGGTTTGGATCCATGCATGGCTTCCGTAATATCGTCATCCCTCGCAATAGAGCTATAGCCCAGTCAACGGCAGTCAGGCGGCTCCCGCGGGGTGGTCCTTTTTACCATGGCCGAGTACCCTCTGGCGGTCCGTCAGGTGAGGACAAATCATCGACTACGACCCGTAATCTTTTTTTTGCAAAAAAATTAACTAACACTCCAAACATCAAAAATCACTGTCCACATCCTACAAATAGTGTTTTCCATCTTGTATTGCATGCCAAGATGTTATTAAATGTTATACGACACTACTAACGCGGAGGTTGTGGGGAATACAAACCACATCTTTCCCACCTTTCCGCTCGCACCTCAGTTCCGTACTCCGGCACGAACACAAGCAATTAACCAGCAGCAGGATGTGAGAAAGGGTGGCACAGAAGCTGCAAATGCCATCGATGCACCACGTCATTTGAATGTGACTGTAGCTTCAACTGCGATGGGCAGCAGCAACTGCCAAAAGAAGAGCCGTGTGGCTGCGCCTGACTCAACCGACATAGCAGGTGCAGACTAAAAAGACATAAAAAAACAAACATAGAAACAGGGTCTTGTGTGTGGTCCAACTGCTGCCGCAGGGATTCGATGAGGTGGCCTCATGCTTTCTCCGGGGGACGCGAGCCAAAAGGATGGCTGTGTGCGCACAAAGTGTACAAACCTTCGTCGTAGCACTCTTTGTATTAAGACAATAATTAGCACCACCTCGAATATGTAAAATGGAAAAGGAGAATTTTTTTCAGCATCATGGCCGTTATGCATGGCGCCTTGTCTGTACGGCACGCATACGAGAATGTACGATGTACACCAAACCTAAAACACGAGGAAACCCCGGCGCAGCTTCGAGAAAGGTCAGCAAATCGCAATACAGAGCATAGCATGGCTATAGCAAGTATATAGCATACGCTTCGCAAGCAGGCAACGCTAAGCACACGTATTTTGTCATTTTCCAAAGTGAAGAGACATACATAAAAGGAAACTACTGCACTGAGTTTGGTCTGTCAGCCGTTTGCGTGTGTGCGTCTGTATGTGCGTGCGTTCATGTAACCACCTCCCCCTCCAATCCCACTCTATCCAATCCCCCCTGCCGAGCCTTCCAGGGCTATCTCGCTTCGCTTATCCAGCAAACAACCCTCGCCACGCACCTTAGCCATGCACCTCCTAAACATATGACACGCACGACGCCAACATGCAAACACGCAGACCTCCCCAACTGGCAGCAGCAGCAGACACTCCTAGCATCGGCATGCTCTGTATACCATTTTCATGAACGATGTTACAGCGCATTATACAACCTCCCTAACATCTGATAAAGAGAGAAAATGTCTGGAAACGTGAGCCGCACGAGGGAATGTAGCCGCTCCCAGTTCGAGGGTAGAAAAGACATCGCATCGAGTACTTGAAGTTATCGAGCAAAAAAAGGAATCGCCACGCTTCTTACCAAAAGAGAGTCTTGGCAGCTATTTTGCAGGTACATGCCTTCACGTACATGCGGTACAGTACGATGTACGATACACACTCTTGCGGTGTTCGCTGCCGGGCCTTCCTTTTAACAGGACTCCAGCTATAATGGGTTTGCAGGTTATCGACACACAGGTCGAGCAAACAGGCAGGTGAGCAAGACGCATGCGAATTGCGCCCCATACACCATGAAAAGCTCTCAATAGGCACCGTACGGTGAAGAATTTGTATCGAACGAATAAATGTGAAAAAGAGCAAAGTGCGAAGTGAGACACGCCAAGCACGTCCGAAGCTTAACCTCCATCGGCACCTCTCCCTCGGCAACAGAACCTTAGTTCCACCAGAGCCACCAACACCCACACATCGATAATCCAGGCTCACACGCATCGATGCATAGCAAAGAGGAACGCGCGCACCCACCCACACGGCCCCCCCCACAAGGAGGAGAGTGCTTCGGCGGTCGTTCCCGTTGGGGTACGGTTAGGGTTAAGTGGCCCTGGCCAGCCTCAGGCCCCAGGATCGATATGTAAGAAATTCACATACATGCACACACACACAAACACATAAGCCCAGCCATGCTCAACAAAGACGTACGGACGCACAGCAAGGTGCGTTCCGCCTCCTGCACACCAATGTACGGCACCGTGCGACTGCTGACGTTGCATCTTATTCGTGTCGGTTCCAACATTTAAATGTCAGAAAGCTGTATGCATGTACGTCGTCGCCTATCCTGCATGTAGTGCTCTGCACACACCCTCAAGGTGGGGCATCTGCACGGAAAATCCCCCAGTACGGCTCGCGAGTACGATGTGATGTGATGTGAGGCATGGCGCCCCGCCTCAATCCTTCCCTGAGTCCGCCTCTGATACCCGCACTACCCAAATAGAAACCAGCTGCTCATTATATTGCTATTTTAGCAGTACTAGGTGTACTGCTAGCCACAGTCGTAATACCAAAAACCTTCCTCTAGTGTTGCGTGTTATACTTTGCCGTCTGTCCGTCCGTCCGTCCGTCCGTCCAGGTATGTTAGATAAGGGGTGTTAGATAAGACTGTGAATGCGCACAACGCCAAGTTATCATCGTTGCCTCGTTGGCTGCAGCAGTTCCAAAGCTGTGCTCCAAAGATGTCGGCTGTGAAAGGACACTCATGTGAAAGGACACTCATGTGAAAGGACACTGTAACAAACATGGAGCTCGAGCTGGATGCGGAGCCTGGGGAACTGGAGGCCGTGTTTCCTGCCTTCGGCACTTCGCCGCGGGGACACACCATCCTGTGAATACGAACAACAGGCACCATGCTGGGCAGCGGGATGCATGGCTGGGTGCATACACGCGGGCTGGTTTGCTAGGGCTGGGCCGTGGTGACGGAGAAACATCCCCGGGGAGATGTGACCCACGTGGTCACATCTATCTGTGCGTGAATAACCCCCGCGGGTGGAGCACTGCCCTGCCCTGCCCTGCACCACTATTGCTGTAGCGGCGGTAGCAGTAGCAGTCGCAGCAGCAGTCGCAGTAGCGGTAGCAGCGGCAGCTGTTTTATTACTTGCTATATGGCTGGCTGGCTGCAGTCTGCGTGCTGCTTCCGTTATATGTCCTGTTTGCCATGTAGTTACCCGTTAGGAGCTTGAAGACAGCGGCTACGAGATCTCCGACCGAGGGACGGCCCTCGCTAGGGAGATGTGCAAGTGCGGACGAGAGTGCCGTCACGCATATGCACATTCCCCTAGCGAGGGCCCGTCTCGAGATGAGCGTGCCGTCGTCGTGGTAAGTGTCATCGAAGCGTGAGCAGCGCACCAGCCGGGTTTAGCTGCAGCGGTGGCTTTGGACATGACGGCGGTGATGGTGACGGCGGTGATGGTGACGGCGGTGATGGTGACGGCGGTGGTGACGGTGATGGTGACGGCGGTGGTGACGGTGATGGTGACGGCGGTGATGGTGACGGCGGTGGTGACGGTGCTGTCGTGTGGTTGACAGTAGTTCATTCCGGCTGCGCCACGGCACCCCCTGCCGCCCTCAAATCTCAACGTTGCTCTTCAGCACGATAGGGAACACGTCCGACACCCGTCGGAAAGCCGCCTCCCTCCGCCCTTTGCACGGCGGACGACAGCAACACGGTAGGGTACGGCACCATCCCCCCAACCGCACCTAACTCTGTGACCTGCTGACCTGCAGAGGCGAGAGGTCAAAAGGGTTTTAGGCGATGTGGCGCGAATAAAAAGGTGGGAGCAAAAAGGAAGTTGATTGAGAGCACAGGAGTGAAACCAATCAACGGCGAGCACCGGTTCCATGACGAACAGCGCAACGTACAGCAGACCCGGCAGTTGATGCTGACGACGCGTAGACGCGCACGCAAATACACAGACACACACACACATAGACACACAGACACACACACACACACACATAGACACACAGACACACACACACAGACACACACACACAGACACACACACACAGACACACACACACACATAGACACACAGACACACACACACACAGACACACACACACACACAGACACACACACAGACACACACACAGACACACACACAGACACACACACACACGCGCGGAAATCCCATCCAACACCCGGGTGCGTGTGAGCTGTCGCTATCTCCCACCCCCTTTTGGACACGGGGGGGGACATACAGCTCCTGGGCCAACCATCACCCACCACCCGACATGCAGCACAGGCACCGTCCCATCCGCTAGAGACCCTCTCACGGCCGTTGCGGTCTTCATGGCGCCCTACACTCGGGCGTCCCCTCCCACCTTTGCCTCGCCCCACCTACATCCTCTCCCCTCTCTCCTCCCCACCAGTGATTTTTTTTCATTTAGGGGGGGTCTCAATTTATTCCGACCTAAGTAACAAAGTTGCTAGCGTCGCCGTAATGTATTCCTTAAGAGTGGGGCGCTG